TGAGGGATGGTGGAGGACAGGAGAGCCTGAAGGAATGTTGTCCATGGGGTTGTGATGGGTCAGAAGCAACTTTGTGACTAGCCTAGCCTAGCCTAGCCTAGCCTAGCCTAGCCTAAAATGCCTGGATTGAAGAAATTGGAAACTTTGCTTCAGGTTGGCTTGCTGTTTTTTAAACAAATTCACAGGGCCTAGAGGTCCATTTAGGGATTAACTCTTCCCCCCCCCCCCCCAATTTTTAGCACACGGTACTAGTTTGGAGTGTATTGTTACTTATCTTCTTTACTGTGCCATAATCAAAGCTCTCTGGGCAATTGACAGTGTGCAGCAACCCCATATAAATTTGTGGGCATGGCCCTCCTGGGCCAACCTTCTCTTCTTGATTGATAATGCAACCTCTGCCTGCAACCAATTCTACTTGCTCCTGCAACCCATGAATCCATCTCCAGGACTTCCTGCTCACAGATTTCAAAGGTCTCTCCAGATAATATTTCCTGAGAGACTGAGGGACAATTTACATGTGAGAGCATGTTTACACACTTTTTAACCTCTTTTCAGTTGAAAGCAAGACAATCACCTTCATTTCAAAGTGTTGTGTTTCAGATCCTACCTGCTGATCTGTGTTTAGTCTGTGAGGACTAGCAGGCAGACAATCTGCTGCTGGTCACTAAGCGCCTTCTCTGTTGACTGAAATTGCCCTAAAATGGCTGCATGAAACATTTTTCACTTCTGCCCTGTAGGAACACTTTGTGTTCTTTTTAAAAAAAATGCACGACTACCACCCATCAATCCATAGCCAGTATCTTTTGAGTTATACTTGAATACAAGAGAATGACAAAGCCAGACAGGTGGATACAAAAATGGCTCTATGGCAGAAACACCTGGCTGCATATCAAGCAATTTGTTAATTCAATCAATCAGGATTGCATGTTGCAGTCTGTTTCAGGCAAGACAGCTGTGCGTGATCAGAAGAAATTCAAAAGCTAGTATGAGGCCTTTAACTAGGCTGGAAGGAGCAAAAGTATTCTCTCTGCTTTCTTCAGCCAGTCCCCTCCCCACTCCCCTGCTGCCCTATCTAGGTTAAATGATTGAGAAATGAAACATAGAGATGAAGAGCTCTTTAGGGAGAGAAAAGGAACTTCCCTTTTCTGGTCTGATAGAAACCATGCAGCTGGTATAAATTATGAAAAATGTCTATTGTAAGCACAAGCAGTTGGATGTTAGATCATGAACCACCTCATTTTTTGATGCTGGATTGCTTTTCCGGTTTTCTTAAAGCAGGAGTGGGCAGAAGGCAGGTTGGGATCTACTGTTAAATCTCTGAGTGATTTATGGTACATTAACAAGGATTTCTGACTTCCAGTTGTTCAATAGAACAAAGTTTCCCAACCCCACCCCCACCATGCTGATGACAACCCAAAGGAACCAGACAGCTTTGAAGAGATGCCCAAGGCAAAGAGAATAAAGAAAACGAGGTGGGTGTGGTTCCAAAGGTGAAATCTATGAGTCAGTGATGAAGAAAGGGTAGAATGCCTGGAAGCAAACTACAAGTGAAAATCTTGTTGGTGTATATGGTAACAAGGAAGTACGCAGGTGGCTTCTGATTACTCAATACACTGAACTTGAATCAATAGGAAATCAGAACTTGCATCTTGAACTCTGATAAGGTTTCAGATCTTTCATTTAAAAGGATGAATTTGAAAAACTCCTTGCTATGAAGAGCCTTACCATTTCATACAAAGATGCAGGCCTGAATTCAGAGAATGTTGTCCCAAATTCCACTTAGACTTTTGGTGCTGTAATTCAAAACTGTGTACAATTGCTTGTTTCTAGATAAGGCTTATCATGTGAAGCTATTTGGAGAGAAGTTGTGCATGCTTTTAGAAGCAACAGTGCTGATGGCCATTAAACTGGCATTTATGCAGAGGCTGAATCCTTCCAAATCCTAATAAGAATATGCTAACCAACATGGAAAGCAAAACAATGGCCCAGTGACTGGAAATGCTCAATAGGCTTTCCAGTCACTAAGAAAGCAGATGCTAAGGAGTGCCACAATTACAGAACCATTACACTGATTTTCCATGCAAGTAAAGTGATTGCTCAAGCTGTTGCAACAAATAATTTTAGCCTACATGGAGAAAGAAATGTCTCATGTTCAAGCTAGATATGAAAAGGCAGAGACATCTGAAATCATCTTGCAAGCATACATTGGCTACTGGAGTGCATCAAAGCATTTCAGAAGAGGATCAGTCTGCTTTATGAATCGCAACAGAGACTTGGTGGATCACCAGAAGCTACGGATGGTCCTGAAAGAAATGGGTGTGCCTTAGCACTGTATGGTGGTGAATTTATTGTTAGGACTGAACAAGGAAAAACATAATGGTTTCCTCTGGCAAAGGTGTCAGACGAGGGTGCATTTTATTTCCCTATCTGTTCAGAACACAGCAAAGAAAACTTTATTAGGACTGGAGCAAGGAGTGAGAATAGGCAGAATGTAAGATAGGCTGATAATAGTAATACTAGCAGAAAGCAGCAATGAATTGAAATGACTCTTGATAAAACTGCAAGAGCAAAGTACAAAAGCAGGACTGCAGCTGAACATTAAGAAAACAACAATCATTACAGAAGAATTCAAGAAATTTAATGTATCCACTGAAGATACTGAAATTGTGAAAGATTTTGTGAACATTGGTACAATCAGCCAACTGTAGCCAAGAAATCAGAGATTTGGAAAGTGCAGCAATGGAGGAACTAGAAGAGATCATCAAGTGTAAGGATGACAGGAGTCCATGGATGGGATCATCCACACTATTGTATTCCTAATCAAGAGAGCCAGTGTGGTGTAGTGGTTAAGAGCCTGGGACTGGGACTCAGAGGATCTGGGTCCTAGTCCCTGCTCAGCCATGGAGCCAACTGGGTGACTTTGGGCCAGTCACAGACTCTCAGCCCAGCCTACCTCACAGGGTTGTTGTTGTGGGGATGAGATGGAGGAGGAGATGTAAGCTGCCTTGAGCCCTTTGTAGGAAAAAGGCAGGATATAGATCAATCAATCAATCAATCATTGTATGGGTGAGAAAGCTGGACAGTGAAAACAGCTGACAGGAAGAAAATCAATGCATTCAAAACATGGTGCCAGAGAAGAGCTTTGCGAATATCCAGGACTGACAGAAAGATAAAACAGAAACATATTGAATCAGAAGGGGTCTCTGGGGCCATCTAGCCTGACCCCTGGCTCCAGCAGGCTCCACTCATGGCATGCCTACCATAGTAGATCAAATCAAGACATAATTTTCCCTGGAGGCAAAAATGACAAAACTGAAGCTGTTGTACTTCAAGTACATTATTAGAAGGCAAGATGCACTGGAGAAGACAATAGCAGGTCCTGAAGGTAGAAGATGATGCATTATAAGGTGGATTAATTCCATAAAGGAAGCCACATTTACAAGCTTCCTAAGCAAGGCTATCAAACAGGAAACATTTTGGAAGGCATTCATTAAGAGTCAGTTTAAGTTGGGGAAAAGTTGGTAACAATAGAATGGGCCAGAATTCATGTGTTTTTCAACTCCACTATCCCATTCAATAGTGGTCCATTGAACCCCCAGTCACACATGTTAAACTGAAAAGGGTGATTACGGAACATACCAAGACAGCTGACTCCATAATGGTTGAAGACAAGGTTGAATTCAAAGGTGGACAATAGAATTCTGCTTGCAGTGTGGATCTTTCTTGGCATCTCCCCATCAACCTGCTTCATTCTGCTGTCATGGGATGCTCTGTGTTGGGGGATTCAGAATGGAGAGGGGCAGGGAATTCGGCAGAATCCAAAGGGCTATTTTGTGCAAGCAAAGCTGCCTTTTCTAGACATATAGGAAACCTCTAGATCCAGGCCGTATTTAGTACAAAGTGATAAATAAAATTCTTAGAATTCATTTCATGCCTCTTTCAAACAGCTGCTGTGATCCACAAGAACGCCACTAAAGTAGATTAAGTAAGAGGTCCACTATGGCAAGTTTTCTTTCCTGAACACTAATAATTTTGGCCTGTTGCTGGAGTTGGTGCATGGCTGTTTATACATTAAACTCTAGTAAAAACAAGAGCTTTTGTACTCCTAGATGGAGTAATTCTTGACATATGGAAAGCAGGACAGAGTAAATAACAGTAAGAAAAGTTTTGCTATAAATTTAGAACTTAGGGCAGAATCTAATGGGGTGCTTATGCCATCATCAATTCTTACATCCTACTGATTCTTATCAGTGGCCACTGTTTACAGAACAAAAATTTAGTGTTTCCAGGGAAATGGAAACAAGTGAAAACACTTCTGTTTGGAACAGGGCTCTGTTGCCGTGGAGAAACCAATTTTTCTCCTTGTTTTATGGCTTTCTCAGGGAAGTGCTCAATCCACTGCATTAGTGGCAGGATCCACTTGTACAACTGAATAGGTGGGACACCATTTGTAGGATGCAAGCAGACTGACAAAGAGATAAGCACCATGTTAGATTCTGCCCTTAGACTGAATACACAAAATGATTCTGTAGCTAATAATTCTTTGTAAAAACATTCTGAATTTTTGATACCATAGCAAATTGTCTAGTGTGAATTATTCAACAACCAGATAGTGTGCATGTACCCATCCACCCAGTGTTAGGGTATCGTATTCTATTTTTCCTAACCTGTTTTAACCTAGACAAATAGAATCTCCTATGCAATACATGGAGGGAAAAATTTACTGAAAAGTTCCACACAGGTTCATTCAGTTCAGTTATGTCATTTGAGTTTAATACCATAATGGTCAAAATACTTGGGACTGATCCTTCAAATTACTGGGAAACTCTAGAAGCAATCACAAGTTGCTCAACTGATAATACACAAAAAATAAAATATGGAAAGCTATCAATGAAGCATTTGGGAAGGTGTAGCTAAGGTTGCCAAAGAATGTGAAATAGCACTGCAATCAAATGGAACACTGCTTTTTTCTCAGGAATCAAAACATAAGACCAAGCATATTCCATAAAGGTATTCACACATTTTCATTTTGTTGTTTTCTTTACAGCATATTACAAGTGAACATTACATTATTCAATATGAACTAAGAGCGGCCTAGAGGCAGAACAAACTTAAACAGACTAGGCAAAAGGTTCCATAACCAAATCTACAGAGAAAACAGTGCAGGAGGAGATGGGGAGGATAGTGGTACTTAGCTAAACCTAGAATGTTTCTACATCTCTACTGTTCAAGTATATTTGATGAAACTGAATGTGAAAAATGTTGGTCAGTTAACAGAAGAATGCATAGAGTAAAACAATCCCATGCAGTCCAGCCAACAGGTTATGAAGTAGACTTGCAATGTACCAAAGAATATGAAATTACAGTTTGAAAGATGTTTTAAGTGTGGAAGCATGTACCATTGATATAATGCAGAAAATATATGGCTGTTACTCTCCTTCAAATTAAATTGTGATTTGCAAACAACCACATCTATTGGACAAGAAGTTAAGGCAGAGTTCTGAAGAAAATCCCACTGCAGATTTTAAGTTTGCTATTTCTAATGAAAACTGTGCTTTAAGAATGGTTATTAATTTGGTATATCAAAAGATGCATAAAGGAAAAAGAAGCTACTACAAATTCCAGCTAAGATCGGTATTTAAATTAAAAGTTTAAATATGTCTGTTATTCTGTTAAATGGTCAACGTTGTAACATACTAATTTCTTCTGCAAGCAAATTTCTGTATGCTTTGATAAAAAGAAGAGTAGCAGTACTGTGTAAATGAGATGAGTTGCTCTCCTACCTTCTCCTGAAACTTCCCCCAAGAAAGCTTTCGTGTGATTTATAGGTTTCACGACTGCCAAGGGGTTTGAGACAGAACGGCTATGTTATGCCATCAAAATGAAGAAGTGTTTACACAAAATACTGACTTGAACAAAATACAAAGCACTTTATCTTTCAGAAACCGAATATACAAAGTAAGCTTCTTTCCAAAATATTTTCATAGGCAAAGGATTAGAAAGGATTTTAATTATACACATATGGTCACAATTCTGCCTTAAAAAGTAAACTGGGAAATGTACATAAGGCCGCTTGTAAATGTACACCTTTATCTTACTGTTACAGTGTCATATTCAGAGAAAAATTGACAGTATCATACATATTTGTTTTAGGATGAAATAAGCTGTTCAAAAATACAGTACTTTTCTGTACAAAAACAAATCGTGCCACATTTAAGATGGAAGAAGCACTGGTTTATGTGATCAGTAATTTAGTCCATTAATTTGTCTTTATTCTCATTAATGTTTAAACTGATTAGGTTTCTCAAATGTCCATATTAACAGAATAGCTATGTTATAAACAAAAAGTTTATAATAATAGATAAAAGAAAGCTGGTTCATATCTCTGAAACCATATAAAGATAGAATTTTTAAAAAATCAGTCTTGATTTGTTGAAATAAATTTACATTATACAACACTATGTCAGGGCCGAAAGGGGCAGGGATATGAATATACACTAAAATGCAAATTTTCATCCCAAAAGGGGTAAAACAAATTACATTTACAGCATGAAGGTTTACAAATGTACATCTGTACAACCAAGATAAGCATCACTACTCAATTAGCAAGGCTTGTAAAACATTGAAAACGAGAAATTTGTTTACAAATGGTAAACTTACATCTATTAACTATACTTATACAATGCTTATATTTATAAGGAAGCAAAATGCTATCTGAATATTTAATCATGCTTTAGATGTTGAGCTATCAGGCTTAAGTAGGCCCTGTCCTCCTCCAGTGCCTGCCTACTGTTTCATTTACTGTGAGAACACAAAGCATCTCCTCAACATTTTCAAATCCTGTCTTACAACTGTATATTTAAAGCAAAACACGCACATCTTACGCTGTCTGTCTGTCTATTTATTTAATGCAGGTTTACTCTTTTCCCAGACAGTACATTGCTGGATTGAAGAACCACCTTTCTATTCTCCTACCTTGCACACCAATTAAATATTTAAGTATATACATGGCTTTCATACACTGTTGGAGAAAAGGGCACTATACTCAAAAGTTTCCAAAGTGAATGATTGAAACTACTTAATTGTTCATATTTAATCATTCCTTGACCAGTATTTGTAGTGCCCAGACTGCTATTTGGATTATAAAAATTGTGAACCACCAAAATACAGAACTTAACTTTCTGTAACATGTTAAATAATAATTATGTAATTGCTCTATTTTCAACTGTTATAAAAAAGGTTCTGCACAAAGGGGAAAAATGAAAACTAATTCTATATACAATTATATAAACATGTTGTGCTATGGTGATGAACAGACCTACCAGATTGTAAGCCAGTATATTAAAAGAATACTGTACTTTTTCCCTTTAAAAACTATTTTATTCAGTGACTTTACAAGATAAAAATTTACAAAATGTGAGAGCTATTCTGATAGTTACATCATTTACAGGCTTTCTGTGCTTTATGAGCCCTGCAATCTGATAGGTCCCTGATAAGAAATGGCAATATGTTGCAATTCATTCCCCCAAAATATACACATGAATAAAATTTTTACAAATGGATGGTCAATAAATATATTTTTTAAAAAAATCACAACATTTTTAGTTAAGTCATGTGTTTTGATAATTCACAATAAAATTCCTCTTTGAGACTGCTATATGTTTGCGTGTGTCTTTAAAGCATTCCGTTCGGTGGCCCTCCAACTGGCCCCAGGTCAGCACTGTTCTTCAGGTAATACTTTTCCAGTTTGGCAAGGATATGTTTGCCATAGGTGTATTTGCGCAGCGTTGTAATATGGGGCCGGATCTGCAACAAGAAGATTCAGAAAGTCAAGACATTTCTATCATCAAAACAGACTAATTTTGGGCAGGATAGGAAGAAACAAACTGAAAGGCTTCTGCTGAATATTTATCTTTTCTTATTTTATCTTCAATATTTGTCAGTGCTGACAAATATGTCAGAAACCTGAGCTTCTGAAGAACAAGGAAGATGCAAGGTGATGCAAACTCAGGGCCAAGTTCAAGAAAAAAAATGACATTGTTCGATAGTCAAAAATGTTAATAAGGCTACTTAACTATTTCCCCATTATCCATAGGTAGGATATTATCTCAATTACTGTCAAGGCACGTCTGTTTCATATAGCCCCTTCCTCCACAGGGTGCAAAGACAATGAGAGAACAAGCTTCTCTGGTATATATGGAGAGTCCAAAAAGAAAATGCCACATTACTGCATACAAAGCAGTGAAAGAGGACAGGGACAGCATCTCTTTGGACTAAAATGATATGCATTCTATAGAAGCAATGATAGGGGGAGAGCACAAGACTTAGTTCTGTAGTCAGGAACTCCGATTTCAGGTGCAACTAATAAAGGAGCAGAATAACCGTGAAAGCCATCGGAGAATGAATGACCTTTTGAGAACTTTTTATTTGTGGGTTACTATTTACCAGGTCAGATGAGAGTGACAAGTCTATTTGTCCATAGTTAAAGTTAACTGACAGCCACTGTGGTGTAGTGGTTAAGAGTGCAGGACTGGGACTCAGGTGACTTGGGTTCTGGTTTCCACTTGGTCATGGAGCCAGCTGAGTAACTTTGGGTCAGTCACAGGGTGGCTGACGTAGGGTTAAGACTGAGAGCAGCAGGAGAAGAATGATGTAAACTGCTTTGAGTTCATAAGAAAAAATGGGATATAAATCTAATAAATAAATAAGAGTAAACACACACCCAATTTCTGGTAAGGAGGATTTCTATCGCTTGTGGTGTAGATGTGTTGTGCAGATTTTCAGTTAATGCTTTGAAGCTATGAGAGGATATGCTAAGAAGTCATATATACAAACATTTGCATTATTATTGAATTATGTAGGCGATACCATTTTAAAAGTATTGTACTTCTCTGCAGCCAAATACTGAAAAAGTTTGACTACATCTAGTATTAAGAGGAACAATTCCAAAAGTACCTGCCCCTCCACTGCAGCTGCTGTGCAGAAGAGCTACCCTCGCAGCACAGGAGGCTGCCCAGTCTCCATGACAGGGAACCTGGGGCAAGGCACTCCAAAAAGTCAAGGGGATTGATAAAATGGGGGACCTCTCCTTTCATAAGCATAAGTGCCTTCTGATTTAACAGCAGCACCAACAGACCCAAGTCAACATGTATTTTATGGGGGTACCATGTGAAGTGTTGTACAATTTCCAAGTTTTGGAAAAAAACCGCAGTATCCAAATTATATAATGGCTCCTTCCTAAGTGAGTGTGCGCACTGACTTTACATTACATATTGTTCCATCCATCCATTCCTCCACTACCCATGCATGCAATTTCTGTTATCACCCAACTAGAAATGGCAGTTTTCAATAGCAATTAAAAAAAATACAAAAATAAGTAAAGTATTGAAATTTATATAAATTATATTCATATTAATATGAAAAGCAGAAAAGCGTATAGAGATAAATTTTGAAAAACTGTGCTGAAACCAAATCTGAACCAGCGTGGAGTAATGGGAGGGGTGCATGTATTTAGTTAAATCTATTCCATCTCCATGCCACAGATTATCAGGCGTTTTTTGTTTTGTTGTCCAATCACTGATGATACTGGATTTTTTGTTGGAGAATTCACATGTGCGCTAATGCTCATTTGTTAATGCGGATTTGCACAGAACTCCCCAAAATGAAAAAATCATGAATCCCTTAAAGCATCTGCATTTTCTTGAAAGTAGAAAAACTGGTCCACAAGTACATGTGACTACAGAAAGCTGGTCTGCTGAGGAAACACAAATCTTGAATCCAATGGAAATTTCTCTGACACCCCCAAGCAGCAGTTAAGAGAGCGATTAGAAATGGGTTGGATTAAAATTGAATCTCCATTTAGCCATGCAAGCTCAGTGAGTAACTGACTAGAGCTTGCAAAACAAATAACCCCCATGGGTTGTTACCACAATGAGTTTCATTGTGCAAATCTGCACCAATTTTCACAGGGTGGCTTGTTATATCCAAGATGGGTTGCCCTGTTGTCCAAACCTGAGTGACAAATGCCAGTATGGACATCAGGAATCATGTTCAAAGCTGCCTGGCAAGAATCAGTGGCTGTCCAAACAGAGACTGTGAAAACTGGCTGTCAAATTGGACTTTGCACCACGTAAAGGAACAAAAAAGCCAGTGAGTGAAAAAGTGGCATGACTGTGGTGGGGACAAGTCAGGAGGCCCAAACGGTTGAGGAGGAGGTAAACCACCCATGGCAAACATAGGAACATCATAAATTGTTTGCCCAACAAGCATCCCATCATGGCATTTATTACCAACGTGGATTAACATAATATGAAACATGCTCATTATCTATGAGCCTAAAACAACTCAGAGTTGTTTAAGATAAGATGAGTGGGGAGAAAAAGAAGCATGTATATCACCTTAAACTTCTTGCAGATGCAGTATAAATGTAATAGTAAAGTAATGACAATACTGTTAACTTTAAAGCTACTTACAGTATACTATTTACAAATACTCAGAAATTAAGAAGACAAAACAGTGTTATAGAGAGGAATGAGTATTAGAGACCAGCATCAAGAGTCAGTCAAGGGTTGTCAAAGATGGAAAATTAAAGGTGTTCATTTAAAGAAAAAGATTTTCTAATGCTGAAACAGATGGCTACAATTACCTTATGCATTATAATCTTACGCTGAGCAGGCTCCGCCATGTCAATCATCTTCTGAACAACATAGTTTGCATACTGGTCCTTCATCATGGTGTATAAGGCACTATGAGGACCATCATTCTGGCAACAAACCTCATCTATAAGCAATGCTCTTTCAGCACGAGATGCATGAGTTACACATTTTTCTACCACGTTGCTGAAAAAGATCGTTAAATTCATCAATTCAGAAAATTTTCTATTTTAAGTTGACACACCTGAAATCAATATACAGGCACAATTTAAACTATATGATTAACTAGAGAAGTAAACTTTCTGGAAATTTTGAAGCCATGGAAAAAAACCTTTTTCTCCAGGTTTTTTTTTGGGGGGGGGGAGGGGAACTGAAATTTTGGGAAAGGATGAAAGATAGTATTTCCAATCCTCTTTACAGATTTCAAGTCACTTTGTTATCTTTCCTAACTTGGTGTCTCCAAGTGACAGCATGGCTACTTAATAAGGAATTGAAGAAATAACTATTATTATTGTCATCAGATTGCATCTACATCCTTTCTTCCTTCTTGTAAAAACCCAAAGCAGTTTAGAAGGTTCTCCTCTTCTCCATTTTATCTTTAAAACACCACCCACTATGAAGCCGCTAAGTCTGAGAGGCATAACTGGTCCAAAGTCACCCAGTGAGTTGCACAGGTAACAGAACCCAGAGCTCCTGAGTCCCAGTCCAACACTCTAATCTATATGCAACACTGGCTCTCTTATAGTATATCTTAAAATAATTTAAAAAAAGGATTTAAAAAATTCTCCAAGGTTTCATTACTTCATAAGTACTGCTGTTTGTGGTAGCAAGGCAATAAATAACTGAATTTCCAGAAATGTCACTTCTTAGTCTTTCTATAAAGTCCTTATTATAGGTTGGGTAACAACATATAAACACATGATCTTAAATATTTTATTCATAGTTTTAAAACAAAAGATGTCCTAATTCGTAGCTTTTTATTTTTTTTAAAGGAAAAAAAACCCAGAAATGTTCCTGAGGGGAATGAAAACATTTTCTCCCAAATTCTTCCAGCCCCACTCCCAAAGCCTTCACATTTCTAAGGCTACTGTAAGCTGACTCAATTATGGTAGCCTCAATTCTTGTCCCTGCCTCCCTAGGCAAACCAATGTGATATTGTAATGAATGTACAATATATAGCCCATGGGTCATGTGAGGACCTTTTACTCAGTGTGGCCACATTCAGCCACCCCTTGAAATTCAGGAAGATACTTCCCAAAGTCTAAAACACCTACTGGAATTGAAAAGGACTGTTGGGATCATCTACAGAGTATCAAAAGGGTCAAATTAGCTAGCACACAAGCTAACTTTTACCCTTTTGGTACTCTGTAGCTACTACACTAGTGACCATTTTTAAAATTTTGGTTTTTCACATTTATTTTTAATTTCTCAAGGGTCTTGGCGGCCCAAGGGTTTCAGACAGGGCAAATATTAACCCTGAAACTCCCAAATTTGCCCCCTGTGTGAAACAGGATTCTTCTTGCATCAAAAAATTGACATCAGAAACACTGGAATGCACTATCTCTTACCCAAACCATCCCAGTATCATCTTGGTTACTAGGAAAGAAAATTTGTTGCAGTCTGTTCCACATCACAAAAAATAACTTGAAGCAGGGTTGTTTTTTTCTCCAAGAAACTAACAGTCGTATTACACATAACCATGGCTATTATCTAATTGTGTAGGATATAATATTGTAAGTCAGGTTTTTAAAATCAACATTATTTATCAGATTCCTTAAGATACTTTTCTTTTTTGCACAGAATTAGGGCAGCTGGCCCTGAGAATTACTTCCCAAGTGATATTCTTGCATCTGCACACACCAAGTATCCAAATGAGCCCTGCAGAGACTTGAGCTTCTACCCTCTCTGCCCAAGATCTCGCAGGTAGGGCTTTCTCCTCTCTGTTTTCAAGTGAAATGGAGTGATTCCTCCATTGTTTTAAATGCAGAGAAGAAAGCTCCACTGCACCCAAAGTGAAAAAAGTCCTCCCTCTCCAAGAACCCTTGGAGCAACTAGGTTCTTGGTTGGAAAGCGTTTCTTCTCCACTCCAGCCATTTTTCAACATGGCCCTTGATCCATTCAAATAAGCAGAAACATTGTTCCATTCACTTCTATGGCGAGGAAAGAAGAACAGGAGAAGGAGGGGGAGGCGGAGAGAGCACATGTTGGCACATTGCACATAGAAGCACATGCATCCCACCAAAACACACAAACACAGGAGGGCACTCTCAAAATTGTTTCCTTGGCTTTTATTTTTGCAGTAGTCATGTCTAGTTTTATTTTAACTTCAATTTACTGAGAAAGATCCAGACTCTTTATCAGAGCATTGCTTAGAAGTGTGGTGTGTTTTTTCAGCTGTCAGTATCTGCCTAATTTCTGAACCTCAGCAGTTTCAGACTCAGCATTTCCCTCAAAATCCTAACATACATGTTTTCTTTTCAACTGTAGATATTCTCATGGTATCTGCAGATTAATTTTGTAAATGTAAAGTACTAAGACAGTCAAGTTGGTCTTTTGACAGTAAGAGCCATATATTATCCAAATTTTGGTAGCATATTGTAGATCACCTGATAGAAATATTTATTTGAAATAAAGTTTGAAGCCAAACTACCGGGATCTGTAGTGCCAGAAACCAGGATGACTTTTACATTTTATCACAATTAATTTATGTCAAAGAGAAACGCATCTGTGGTGCCATATAAAGTCTCTTGAGTTAATCCATTTCTGACTGTAACACCAAAGCTTGTTCCCTGGAAACACATGTTCCATTGCCACTGAGAACCTTCAGTAAGTGACTTCCTCTTCCCCTGATCCCACCCCTCCTAAACTACTGCAGAAAGTCTGAGAGCCCACAGGAGCACTGGACATGCAAATAAAAAGAGGGTAGCAGGTTCATTTGCATGAGTGCAACTCTGGATGTAACCTCCATTTTGACTTGGAAAACTTAAAGCAAACAACAGAAATTCAACCCCCAACACTGAAAACAAGTAAGTGCAATTAAGAGATTGTTCTTAACTATACCTTGCAAATTTATGCTGACTTAGAGTTAGAACTTTTCCTCTGATTTCAGTAACAATTTTACTCTTGTCTTCAGGACGGCCATGTTCCAACACATGCTGGATAACATAGTTTCCATACTGGTCCTAAGAAGAATATGCTTGTTTTAACAAGATTCATACTGTTTATAACTTTTGAAAATACCCAAATTCTTAAGCTGAAGATACAAACATTTATTACATATCCGCACATTTAAGCTACGTGCCCAAAATGATATTGCCCAGGATGGAATATGATAGTCAGGAAGTCCCTCCTCAGGAATTCATTTTAGGAACTACCAGAATGAATGGAGCTAGCTCTGTCCCCTTGATGCATGTGTGCCAGCAGTACTCCTCAAGCCAGTGTGCAATCAGCTTGAGCCCGAAGAGGGTTAGGGTTTGATGGGCATAGTCTTCAGTCCATGGGATGGGAGAACCATGGTTCCCATCTGTGTGTTCAAAGGCTAACCATGACAAAGCAGGTCTCCTTCACATCAAACCAATTGTGCATTGTCTTGGAAGAACTGGGGGAACATTGACAGCATCAAGCAGAAAAGACTAGCCCCCTATGTTTTCATGATCGTCACACACCTTTCTAAATGAACACTGAACAGAGCAAAATCTAATGAATGAAAAGGTAGACATGATCCTTAGAATATGCGCCAATACATAAATCCTTGTTAATTATTGATAATTACAACTATCATTTTGCTATTTTAGTTTCTGTTCTCCTCATTATTTCAGTGCACACCAACCTGCACAAGCTGTTCGGTGTGTTGATGGAGTTCTTCCAAGATGGGCAAAGTCTGTTCAGCAGTGCAATGTTCCAGTATACGCTGAATTACTCTACACCCATAAGGATGAGTGGAAAGCACAAACACCTTGAAATAACAGGGTTACAATTATTAATATATGCTTCAATAAACCTGTTGTGCTCAGAACAAAATTCCTTGATGCTCCAAGTCTTCAAAAGGAAAAATTTTCATCTTAACCTATTAGCAGCAAATTATGGGATGGTTTCATATTATATCAGGGTGGGGGAAAGTGAGTGACTTTTGCTTTCTGTTCTTGAATGTATTTTATAACAAAACTGCTCTTCACCAAATCAAGTTATTTACCTGTAACTCATGTTTCAGGAGCAGTAGAGACATAAACTAAACATTGGGATGAATGGATCATCTATTGCAAAAAAGTGTCAATTTATATGCCAGGAGGTGTGGATAGGCCCTCCCACCTCCCTAGTAGCAGATGCAAGGTAATATTGGCAATATATAACAGACAAGGGACTTTGCCTCCTCAGTTCAGCATCAGTCTGCTAAGGCACATCAATTAATGTGGAGATCAGAGTTAAGAAGCCACAGGTGGCAAGGGGTTAGTAATGGAAGGGAGGGATGTAACACAAAAGGGCTGGGGCAATGATGCCAGTGGTCACGGCCACACTATCACTAGACATAGCTGTGCCGCTGGCATCACACAGTCCACATAGGACCCAATGGAGGGCAGCTGAGATGGGCCATGCACTCTGAGCAGAGGGCTATGCATGACAGCCTGTGATTACTGAGCCTTTGAACCATCTTTTCCCATTCATGATTTATCTTTTCTAAAAACCCAACCCCCAAGTAGCTTCTAAAAATCATATTACAGTGAATAAGAATGATCACAACAAAAATCCTGCGAAGCAGTACTGGGGACAACCGTAACTGCTTCTGGTGACCTTGTGTACTTAAAATCCCCCAGGACATTAAAGCTGCTCCCTACACATTCCATTTTCTATTTCTCTCAACCTGCTTTGTTCCTTTAATCATAGCAAGACACTGTTCCTTCTGGGGAAATTCAGGAGTGCATGTTGTAATAAAAACTGTGTTGCCACCTGAAAAACCTCCAAGGAAGGGAAGAGCCTCCTACTCATAAACCACAGGCACTGAGTCATCCTTAGGGTCTCATACAACTGCTGAAGACTTTGTGGCTAAATATCTATGTATAACTGTATGCGCACACACGAACATATGCATGCAATAAATTGCTAAACCATGAAGTCCAGTATAATACACTGCATTTATATACAGTCCAACAGCTGAACCTCTCTAGGTGGTTCACAAAATATAAGTTAAAACCATGAAGTATATAAATATCACAAACATATGCAAATCTAAAACAAGTTAAATCAGCCACATAATATAGTAAAATAAAACAGCAGCAGCAGCAGACAACAGCAGCAAAAGACCTAAGAAGCACTAATACTTTTGTTTTAAAGCAAAAAAACCCAAAAAAACTACAAAGTTGATCATAATACAAAGATTTTCACAGGGCACTGAAGGATCACAACACAGGCATGAGGTAAGTTTTCCTGGAAACAAAAAGCTGTACTACCAAAGTCTTATTTGTGGAAGTCTGCCAAAAAATGTAACATATAAACATATGTACACTTATAGAAAACAACAAACATTCTGTAAAAAAAAGAATGAAAAATTAATTACCTGTCCTTTGAAAGCATCAATAATAAACTGGAGTGACTGTGGCTGGACACATTCGATACACTTCTGTACCACGTGGTTTCCATTTTGATCCTTCACACACTTCAGGACATGACCATCCAGCTCCTTCACCATTTCATTCTACAAAGAAATAATTTGAGATTACCAAACTGCCTATGTTCCTAAATTATGCTCTTGCCACAAATGTGCATTTCTGAATTATGATTTACTTTACTATTAATACTGCTTCCTATACAGAATTAGCATATTTTATTAAAAACATGTCTCACAACAAAACAATAGAAAATGTTGTAAAGTTTTAGATAGAATGCAAAAAACATTGTTCTAACTTACAATTACCTGCTGGTCAGGTGAGATAGACTCTAGCGCTTTTTGAATGACACGACAACCATACATCTGTAGAGCTAATGGGAGAACATGTCCACGAATGCGGGTGGCAAGGGCTAATTTCTGATCAATGCTTCCAAACTACAAGAAAAGTGAAGGCAATGTTCACTACATATTATTCTGAAGAAAGATATGAGAGCCATGTTTTAAAGAACATTAAAGGGCTTCTTTTCCATGACTACATTTCATAACCTCAACATATAATTTTAGTGGATATTTCAACAAAAGAATACTAAATACAGATTTTCATGTAGGAAAAATTGGTTTTGATGTTTTTATGCCTGAAAAAACACTATTCTTTCCCCAACTGCCTGTTCAATTATATTGCCCTCAAGCTTCAAGACAAGGTATTCTCTCACCAAACAGTGCAGCCTAGAAAATCAGCCCTTCCTTCTACTCAAAGTAGAAGATTGAGGCAGATATGCTCATTCCCCAGACTAGGCGCTCTCCCAATGTCCCATCGGAACGCTCCCAAGAGGAATAAAAGCTGATTCCACAGGCAATTACCGACAGTGTATAGGTTATCACTCTCTTTCAGCTTGTATTAGTTTTGTAACATAGTAAGATACCGGACATTTTTACATACAATTTAAAAGAGTCATATATACATGTAATGCTGCAAGTATCTTTTTAAATTTGATGCTCTAGTGGATGCACATTTATTAGAACCACAAAAACTAATTTTTGCAACACACGCCTTTTCACAATCATAATCTTCTATAACACATTGACACAAGTCAAATAATATTTCCCATCCGTGGTTATTGTAAAGTGTTAAAAAAAAGTCAACTTTGATATTTTTTGCCACTGTGAATTTTTTCATGGGGAACTGCTTTCACTATTATATGAAATTAAAATGTACCCTGAAAATATAACCTGAAAAAAACAGGTTAATCAAATTATTATCTGTGAAATAGGAAATTAACATATTATTTATATTACAATTTAAATTTATTAGGAGTTGGAGTTGGCATGTTTTTACAGACTCCAAGTCCAATAACCCAAGAATTGCTTCCAACTCTGATTCCATGACTCTTGGAGACCTGGGAAGCTACAGAGAGAGACAGGGAGAAAGCAAGACAAGAGGCTGAAGGGAGGGGGGAAACAGCAAGCCAAAGGAGAAGAATGGGGAGAGTGAACAAGGTTAGAGGCGAGAGAGAGAGAGAAAAAACTGCTGTAACATATTGCCAAGTTTTACTTAAAACAGGTTTTTAGAGACATACAGAGCTTTTGTGAGTGCCACTTGAGATCCCTGCAGACAACACAGTGTCCATGGTTCCAGTGCATAGTTGCTAATACAGTGGTACCTCGGCCTACGAACGCCTTGTTTCACGAACAAATCGGATCACAAACAAAAATTTCTGAAAATTTTTGACTTGGGTCACAAACACCGCTTTGGGTGGCGACTAAGATTGCAGCAATCTCCCCCCACCCCCGAGTGGGGAGATGGCCTTGATCGCAGTTCCGTTCGTGCAGGGAAGGCATGCGTGATCAGAGGCGCGCTCCTGCAGGAAAGACAGGCGGAATCTCGGCCACCTCCCCCGCGGCTCTGCTTTGCTGCTCCCGTCTTTCCTGGAAGAAGAGATAAGCTAGACCCATTTCAATCCAGTTTTAGAAGGGAAAGGAAATTGCTCTGGTCATCTCTATGGAATAACCTGTCTGAAGGGGAATGAGGAGTGTATGATTCCACTGGTTCTCTGGGACTTCTTAGTGGCTACTGATACTATCAATCATGCCATCTTTCTGTGTAGGCTGCCTGAGTTGGGAAATGAGGGCACTGCATGACAGTGGCTCCACCCTTATTTAGGTGGTCAATTCCTGAAGGTGCTTCTACGGGATTGTTGTGCTGCTTCACAACAGTCCAACACCCTGTTTTATGCCCCATATGTTCCAAAATTTGATTTATTTGTAATATTTATTATATATTTAACTTTCCTAGACCATACCTTACCGTGGTCTCGGGTCAGTTTAACAAGACAATATAAAAGTCGTATTTATATATGACTCCAACATGCATCTGACATCTGACATGAAACTACTGGGGGAGTTTATCTGGCAATGTGGGCTGAAGTGTCACCAATATGCAGATGTCACCCAACTCTACCTCTCCTTTTTATCTAATACAGATGAGGCACTTAATATTCTGAACCAGCGCTTGAGCAGAGTAATTGACTGGATGAGGGCCAATATACTGAGACCTAATCCAGGGAAGATGGAGCTATTTGTTGTAGATGGTTTGTCTGTCCAGTTCAGCAGTGTTCAACTTGTCCTAGAGAAGGTGGCATACCCCCTAAAGAACTTGGTTCATGACACAGGAGATCTCTCAGATTCATCATTATCATCAGTAGGACAACATCTAGTGTTGTACAATTCAGTGAAATTTTGCCTTCCCTTCCTCTTCACTACTCAACCCTAAATCAGCACTTTGTGGATCCCCCACCCCTCTAGAGCTGATTTGGGGTTATGTGGAGGGAGGCAGAATCCTCTCCCCATTTCACTGATAGATATTTTGTCACAGGAAGCCACCAGCTGACTATTGTTTTAAAGTTCACTGACAATTTGTTAAAGTATTAAAACTGGTCCTGATTCCCTGATATGAATTAATATAATGTATGTATATTTATACATTTATGTAAAATTACCAATTAATTTTGAGCATATTAACTTTGACTTAACTTTTATTATGCCAGTTTAACAAAGGTCACGTACACATAACAGCTTGACAAACAACCGAAGCAACTGTACAATGCTGGCTTCAGGAGCAAAGAGGGCCTTTTAATACCACCTTCTCTTGGTGACCCAGCTACACTCTTGTCAAGACAGGGACAACTTGACTTCAGTCTATGTTCTGATAAACTCCAAGTTAGAGCACTGCAATACATCTGCTAAATTGAGAGACGTGGCCAGAAGGTGTGGACATACAGCTTCAATTCTGACCCCCTTGTACATGGCTTAGGACCACAATACCTAATAGCACACCTCTCCCAGTATTAACCTACACTCCTACTCTGTGGTCTTCCTCTGAGTGCTTCCTGAAAGCTTTCTAAACAAGGCAAGGGTCATCCTGAGGAAAGCCCTAAATGTGGAATGCTCTCCCCCACCAAGGCCCACCTGTCAGCCACATACTCAAGTTTTCAACGCCAGGTTAAAAGGGCCCACCATTCCCAGGCATTTAATTGACTTTAATAACAGCTGTGTTATCAGGTTCTGGTATATCACTGTCACTGTTTTTAGCTGTGTAAAATTTCGAATGTTAAAAGTTCTTAAAATTATGTTTTGGTTTATATACTGTCTTATATCAGTACTGTGTACTCTATTACATCAGAAATATAATAAAATAGATGAATGAATACAAATGCACATCTGGTAGGCTCTACAGTGTCCATGACATAATCTTCATGCAGGAATATTTATTTTTATATGCAGGAAAGATATTTATTTATTTGTTTAAAACTTTTCTAGACCATCCCTTACCATGATCTTGGGACGGTTTAACAATAAGACAATATAAAAGAAAACACAGCATCCTAATAAAATTTCCAAACAGCAATAAAACCCCCATTAAAACAATCAAATCTTAAAATATTGGGAAAATAAAAAAGTTATTTCTACATATACTGGGCATTCTCCATATAGTGAAATTAATCTGGAAGGGAATACATCAGTATCAACAGTGCTGTGGATCCCTGTCAATACACTATGTTTACAGAAATCGGAATAACTTCCATATATTGTGCCTTATTAATTCCAGATGGGTGGCTTACACCCAATACTTTAACTTTCAGAAATTTTTTCCCCTTGTGTATTAAGCTCTGATGGATAAATGATGAAAAGGAATAATTAAAACTGCATGAAGGTTTTCATTTAATTTCCTAGATACCTAAGAAACTGCTTTATATCAAGCCAGATCACTGGTCTGCTTAGCTTGATACTGTCTATTCTCACTGAAAGCAGCTTTCTAGAGTTTCAGGCAGGAGCCTTTCCCAAATCCATCCTGGGATGCAAAAGATCAAACCTGAGACCTTATGAATGAGAGCATGTGCTGTACTACTGAACTACAACCCATAAATAATGTAATGATCTTGGCACTGTTACTCACCCCAAGCCTTTGAAACAGATCTGTATAAAATAAAAAACACCCAAAGTTGAGCACATTTAAGCCCCATTGATTTTAATGGAAGAGAATTAGGCATGAGCTCAACAACCACAGAAATCAAGGGACAGCTCAGTTTGGCAGTTTGGCAGGAACGTACCACAAATAGAGTGCAACTGTTATGCTTTATTAGAAATGTTGTTCCAACAATTTAGGTAAGACGTCATCAATTATCTCTTGCCACTATGTGAAATTCAACTTTTATCACTGTAATTGGTAAGAAATTGAAAAGAAAAAGATGTTGCAAACTTCAATGTAACAAACATATGGAGGAAATAAGTGAGTCTAGATCTTCCTCTATTTGGACAAATTCAGTTGGTTGAAACTTTAATACTGAACTTTACAGACTCACCTCAAAGAACTTCTGTATTACATAGTTTCCAAACACATCTGTCATCAGCTGATAGGCTGCTTGCAGAATCTCACTAAATACCATTTGGCGCTCAGCTGGAGTAGCTCTTTCTAGTTTCTGCTGTATAAACCTGCAAGCAACAGAAACATACATGCTACTGTAAATTAACAATCCCAAGCACTGTAATATCTTAGCAAGCCACTCAAATAAAAGCTAAAGGATTTTTATTACATTTTAGTTAAGCAATAAATTGCAAGCTACACTGGATTGGTTGGCATAAACTGGATACCATTTTAGATTGCTGCTTTAGTTTTGTAATGCAAAACTACCCAAATTTTAATTGTAAAATTATGATTTAATTTTACATATGAACTTCTCTTGGAGGGCATTCTGCTCTGAAAGACACTATAGCAATACTGATAATAGATAATTACACATGCACAATACTTTGTAATAGCCCTAGTGTAGTCATATTGTAAATTAAGATTTCCGATATTAATCAGAATTACACTAGCATCATCTTATTAACTTCAGATCTAAGTGGCTCACTGCTGACAAAGCCTGTTCATCTCATATTAGCTTTCTTTACAAGAGGGCATGTGAAAGCTAAATGCCCATATCTAATCTCTCTCTGAAAAATCTGGGTGTGGAATGTTGTCTGAAGAGACACATTAAGAAGGATCCTTCAGTAATTTCTAGGTTAAGCAATAAAATGACAATTCAATATGTTTCTTTCAAAGATTCAATTAAAGGAAACACGTGTTATTGTAAAAGATCTGTCTATTCAGCACTATTACAAATGTTTACCTAGAGCCATGCTGATCACGTGAAAACTCAACTATGTGTCCAACCAAGTCTCTTAGTTGAAGGTTTGGAAAGCGATTGTTTCTGAAATCCTCCAGCAACCTACTACGTCCAGAAGGCATAATGTCAGACTTATTATAACGGAGACGTGAGGGAGGAAACAGCTGGCTGCTGGAGCTAAAAAGACTGGAAGTACTTGCTGCACTGCGATACTTTGCTTCTGCTCCAGGTGCTGCAGAGATATAGCGACCACTACCGTTGGTCAGTCCTCCTACAATGAAGCAGCTCTGTTAGTAAAAAGTCTTAAATATTCTATAGTTAAAGTACACTAGAACTAGGGAAGTCTAGAATACTGAAGGACTTTTACATTTCCTTTTTTGTTAAATTCTAGTTAATAGTTTATGACAGAAAGGAACAAAAAAAACTTTTTCCCTCTTTAACTGAGGACCAAGAAGCAATATAACTAACCAAGACAACTCCAACAGAAAAACAAGAAGCTTGCAACTAGCTTCTAGACACCAGTGCCTTTTCTACAAAAGAAAACTTTAACAGTGAGCACTATATATGCATGTGTGTTTATTTATGCTTTTGTTTGAGGTCAACCATAAGAATTACAGGAAACACACAAATATACTTTCCATACTCTCTCACAGAATGGCAGAGTATCAGGCTGAAAACACTCTTCCAAAGTTAGACCATGTCTTTTCTAAGGAATTAACATAATAATTTAGTAGCCCAGCCTTCTAGTCTGCGATCATTCAATTCACATGAAAAAAATTACAAAAACTTGAAATGCTGAAACCTATGGTTTTAAGGGATATTCTAGGCCATATTCAGGCCAAATCCTTTTGTTCCAATTTTTAGTCACTTCATTCAAAATCCCTGTGTAGACACCCTTCTGTATACCTTTCTAGACCAACCTTAGGCTTCAACCTCCTATACTGAACCAGCTATTACTAGAGGAATCCATTAACACTGAAGTGTTTGCAGACAAGACGTTTTCAACCATGTGCTTTAACCAGCCTTCAAAACATGCCAATAGTGCAAAAGGTTTAAGCATCTAACCTAGTCTTACAAAGAACAGTCTGACTTGATCCATGTGACCAACTCAGTTGAGAGCATGCAAGAGTAAACTGACTCCTGCATACTTACCTGCTTCCACTTTGCAAACCAATTCCAGAATGCCCCATCCTTTAGTTGCTATAACATGTGAACCTGGCACTCAGCTTTTTAGGGTTAAGCTACCCATAGTTTTAACCCATGCTTTGTTGATATAAAACTATGGTTTAACCCAACTGGGTTGTTGAAGTGCTGAGATTATACAAGGTGTTCCAGGATCGTTTATAAAGCTGGATGTCAAGTGGAAGCAACAAGCATATGGAAAGCAGAGCAGTAGCACCAGTGCAGCTACAGTGAACTGTGGATTGTTTAACCATTACATGTGAACCAGGTCTTTGGCAAACATCTACTGATTTTACCAGCATGGAATCAGCCTATGAGGTAACAGGTCAGGATACTTTATAACTCCCTGTGTGGGAGAAGTATGGAAAGCATTGATGCAAAGGTATGGAAAGTCTCATATCTACTAGAAATTAGAAATACAACCTTTTCATAAAAATATGAAAAGAACAGGTTTCTGCACAGGGAAAAGTAATGTAAATTAATTAATCATATTAACTATACAATTCTAGCTAACATATATTAGATGAGCTAATCATTTATAAAGGGTACTAAAACATTTCTAAGAAGAAGGCTGAGTTGAAAGGTGCTTCTTGTTCTTCTCCCCTTGGTGGAGACTAGCAGAGAAGTGAATTCCCACCCACATTTATCTGGATCTAACCAAAATACACCAAATGATTATAAACTTCCTAGATTAGGTTATTGTGGTAACTCATTAATACTCTCCAGCATTTGAGAAATTCATCCAGAATAAACTAAATGTATGATAATTGCTTTATGCAATATATTCTGTTAAAAAAAATTCTCTTTTTTCTTCAAATTGAAAACAAACTTAGGACATTGGAATAAAACCAGTGGGATGAACAGTGATTCATACATAAACTTAAACATAAAAACTGTGTTGCTTATAGCCAAAAGCCATCACAAAGTTTAGTTATCTAAACCTGCTGCTACAATTTCAAGACAGGGTTAGGTTCACATGATGACTAAGGAAAAATAAGCCACAGTGGCTTGCTTTCCTTTAACTGCACATGCTGGGAAGATTAGTGTAAACATGGGTAACAAGCAACTAAGAACCTAATAGTTTGTTATAAGATTCCAGGGGGCTTTTTACCCATGGCAACAAGCTACCCTAGTTAGATCTCCATGACATAAGCCATACCCTTGAGGATAACTATGCTAAGGAGGAGAATAAGCCTCCATGGCTTATTTCCTGTTGTTCCAGAGAACCTACTGCATGAAAGAAGGCACTTCCTACTTGCATAAAGGGTTAACCCCAAATTTCTATTCTCACCCCACCATGCCACATGTTCTGCAACAGAAAAGGGTTGCACAACCCCTTGGGAGCAGTTCTCTGGAAGACCCTAGGGCTGTAGTGGGAAGGAGATAATGGAAACTCATATTTTATGTGCAAAATCTGACTCGTGGTTCTCTGGATCCCATAACTGAGCTTCAAGGTATATGCTATTCAATGTACCCAACTCTACACCCATTAATTTGATGGATTCTATAAAATACTGTTTTTAAAGACAGCGACAGATAAATATGCACACGTGACATAGTGAAATAACAGTAATAATAAACATTAAGTTTGCATTTGCTTTAACATCCATAGAAAAGGAAGGGACAGAACAGTGAAGTAGCTTTGCATGTTAAGATTAGATCTTGACTATGTCTTCTGCCCTGAAGAGGCAAAAGGATAAAAATAATTAATTCTTGTTTGGGAGATGAACCTCAGTACAGAGGAAATGTCCTTTGTAGTGATATTAGTAGGGTTATCTGAAGACCAAATACTGATTGGTAAGAGGTTCAGTGCAGTATCATTTTGAAAGCCACAAGGTGGCAGCAAAGTTTACTTAATGATTAAGAGTAAAGGTTTATTTACCATTTTCCGTAATTCAAATGTATGGAATGTAAAGCCCTTATTATTGACCTACATATAAGAATCCATATTTTCAACCTGAACAGCAATCAATATTCATAAGAATTTTATTTCCATAAACTTTGATATAATTAGCGCACACAATCAAGGCATATTAGACAAATTAGGAATCATCTTGCACACATTTTTTTTAAAAGTACATGAACCTAAGTAGATATAATATTCACTATGGTTTTACTTAATTTACTGAGTGACCAAGGTTACTGAATGGAAATGTGTGATCAGATCCTCATTTAGTATGTGATCTTTCAGGATATCAACACATTTTACTAATCTTATTTGGAAAATTGTCCCTGGAAACAATTTTTTTCTTTATTAATTGACAACTATTCATAATTACTAATTCATAATCTTGCTATCATTTCCATCTTCTACAGAAAATCCTGCCTCAGTTGTTTTATAAAATGTGACATGAATCAGTTGATATTTTTACCACCATATCCATGAGAATTAAACTGGGTAAAACAGTTGTATCTGTATCCTGCAAGGGAGACTGCTACATTAATTCAAATATGGGAAGGGCAAACAGTGACAGAGCAATGGCAGGCATCACCCTAGCAGAGAGAGCAGCAGTGTGAAGTGACAAGAAGGCAAGGAAGCAGGGAGTGAGTAAAAACATAGTGAAGAACAGTATGCAGAACTAGGATAGAGAAAGGACCAATGAACAAAGAGGAAACAAACTTGTATTCTGAGTCCCTGTCAACTGAATTCTAACAATGATGTAAGTCTCTGAATTTTCAAGTAAGGAAGAAGATAAAAGAAAAACACTAAGAAGTTTAAGGCAAATAGCAGAGTACTTTCTTTTTACTTGTTTTCAAAGTGGCAAAAGTTTAAGTAGATTATGGCCCCCATATAGAATCTATTAAAAACTGAAATCTTACCTGGTTTAAACAGAACAGCAACAGCTAACATTCTTTAATACTTAACATAGTTTTTGCTAATTCAAAACTTCTTTCATGGGCTCCTTTCATTCATAAAAGTAATCTGATGCAGCAGATGCTGGCAGAACAGGAAAGGATCTGCTAATCTTGGCTCTTGCCTGGCAGTCCCTATAAATCTGTTCCAGAGGATTAGGGACCCTCCAGAACAGTGGGAAAGGTGCTTCAGGGGGTTGTGGAATGAAGGGGGAATTGTCAAGAATGACTTTCCTATACCTCCCACTGGCTGTAACCCCTTGAGGAGGCTAGGAAGCCTGGACCCAATTCAAAGTAGGAAAGAGACCTAACAAAATGGGATGTGCTCATCTTCATACTAAGCCTATACCATTCTTTTGGAATAAAGAACTGCTGCTGAATTTAGGGGGTCGTGAGCAGAGCAGGGGTCAGACTAGATGGCCCAGGAGACCCCTTCTGACTCGCTCTGTTTCTATGTATACATTTCACAAACCATCACTTAAAGTTATAAAGTTATGCACTGAAAAATAAATACACTGACCTGATCACTTAACTACATTTTAACTCCCTTGAAACATTTTTTGATCTGAAGTATTACTATGCTTTTGTTTTACAATTTATTCCATGAACAAGTTTTTAATAGGCATTAGTCAAAAATACAATGCAATCCTTCAAAAAAAAATCTTGGTATTCATAGGAAATGGTCTTCGGAAATTGTGGTCTCTCAATGGGATACAGTATTAAGGTATTTTTAATTGTATGAAAACAATAGTACCACTTGAAAGCTGGCCATGATCTTAAATAACATATCACAGTTAAAAACAAAGCTCTTGTTAAAAAGTGCAGGATTCAGGCTTCTGTACTAAATTCTACTGAAAGGTCATGTTCACTTCACTGCATGCATCAACTGTAATTCTAATCAAGAACAAAAAGCAACAGAACTGGGTACAGATTTGAACTTAAGTCATCCCTCACTTTTAGACATGTAAAAATTTAATTTTAAAGTTTAAGCTCATAAGGCTGTGAAGACATAATTTAAAACCAGTTTATCAATGCATACTGAACTGTAAGAAGCCAGAGGAGCTGCTAGCTGAGCTTGCAGAAGTTAAAGTTTCAATGCTTTGCCTACATCTTCTGCCCCTTTAGTAACTACTCAGCAGAGCAAGCCATGCAGCACAACCTATACAAAATAAGAAATATTTAATGCATATAATTTATGCAGGTTATACAGTTCTCTTTTGTTGCAGAGTTGGAATAATCGTAGTGCAGTATTTAAATCTTTTAGCCCAGGGTATAGTCAGCCTGATCAGGCATTAATTATAGGGGAATAATTTCCTAGTGGCATACTATGAGTTGATCACTAGAATTGTTCATTCCCTTATCAGTCTGGGTTTAGATGCCATGCTCCAGATCCAATCAAGAAGCCAACTGCAGGTTATGCAGTAAAAGCTTGTGTACAACCACCTCTGGGATTTTAATTGATGGGTTGCTGTTACATGTGAACAAGACTGTAGACCTGGTACACATATAATGCTAACCCATAGCTTATTTAACCCTTGGGCTGTTGAATTTTGGATTAAGTTCTGTAAAGGCAGTTCTGCTAATAAACCAAAGTTTGTTAATCAGAAACAGCCCAAAGGAAAAGCCATGGTATGCTGCTATGTTATGAACTCTGGTTGTTTAAATGATGGGTTGTAATTTCATGTGAGCCCTGAATCATGGGTTGTTCATGAATTGTTCTGTTTCACTATAGAGGAAGCAGGCTAGAGTGTTTAAAACCCCCCAGCCCTCTACATGCTGGTCTTACAGCACTATAAAAGGCATTTGAGATAAAGGGGGTGAACAAGAGAAGCTGAGGAAAAAATAAACACTCTAGGGATAGAAAAAAAAAACAAACTATGGTTTGTGTGTTAATCTGCCAGACAAAGCCTGGGTGGGGCAATGAACCACAGGTTAACAATGGATTAGCATTATGTGCTTACCAGGTCAGACACTACTTTCTTCTCAAAACAACGAGTAAAAACTCTTTTGAGGCAGACTTTCCTCCATAGTCAACAACATCCAAACAGTTCCTAAAACTTCCAAAACCTTGTTTCACATTTGATAGGTCTTGCTTCATCAGTTAGCTATCATACCATATCATATTAATTTTATGGTAATAAATTAAATGGCATTTTCATTTTCTAGCTAGGGAATTGTGACTGCAGAAAAAACCTAATTTAGGTAATGAAATCTGTCAAATTTGATTTTTGGAGAAAATCTAATCATTTATTATACATGCTAAATACTGTGACCAGGAACTTGATGATGACATTTTTAATAAGGATAATTTGCAAATTACTTAGGAAGAATCTTGCAAAGCTTTACCTAGAACCATCCCTCCTTAACACTGCCAAGTAGTCAATAGTCAACACAGTCCCTCACATGCGACTCACTGGTGAACATGGCTTGATCAACCATGCAAATCATATCTAACTGCCTATTTTTACATGTCAATGGAAAGCAGCTAAGTTTATTTACTTGAATAACATGCCATAATGCAGCAAATGAATTTTAAGTATTACAAGTTGTGTGATATTTTAAAACATTTCTGGTAGCCAAGTTTTGGATCACATTCATATTTTGTTCCCTAGCAAAAAATTCAGTGACTGTACAGTTCATTACTGTAAAGCATACCATGTTAATTTAGACACAACATATGCCAACCTTTGCCAACTTGGTGTGGTCCACATGTTTGGACTCCCCAGTCAGCATGTACAATTGACGGGAATGCTGGAAGTTGTAGTCTAAAACATCTGCAGCCACCAGGTTGGCAAAAACTGGCTTACACTAATCACAGCATTATTAAAAGGGAAATATATACTCACAAGTTGCAAAATATGCTCTCCAAAGTATATAATTATATAGTTATAACTTTTTTAAAAAAAATCAAATGCCAGCATACATTATCACTGGTTCAAATATTAAAATATTACTAAGGAAGGAGATATAATGGAAATAATTCATTATAGACTAAATATCAAAGCTATTTACCGCTATTACCTTCACCATTTTTTAAGGTGAGATCTTAAAAAGACTTGATGTGAATTCATTAACCTGTTGCTTCAGAAAGCAGTTTTCAGTACTGCAAACTTTTGCTTTTCTTTAAATAAGTGAAACTTGTATCATTACCACGCACCAAACATTAGCCTAAAGCTGACTCCATAAAAAGCAGACACACGTTTAACACAAATACAGGGAAAAAATATAACTTTGCCTGTCAAACAACAACAACACAACAACAACAACAACCCAATCTTAGTTTTAGTAAATATTAGGCTTTAATTTTTGTGTGGCAAATCTGCTGGGTGGTATGAGAAACCCTGTTGTTCCCATAGCTGAATACTTTCAATGACCACATCAGTTAAAGATTGACTGCATTGAGCAACACACTGGGACTATTCCCACTGTACAACAATGTTTTACTTAAAAGGCAAATTGACATCTTTAACCCAACATAAAATATTGATATACATATAAAAATACATATACACACATACATATACAAACAAAAAAGGGCTTTGTTTTTTTTACCTAAATGCAAACTGGATGAGGATCCATGTGATGAAAGTGATGGCGGTGGCGTAAGTGAATGTCCTGGAGTTTGGCTTTGCAGAGGCATGCCTATTGGGCTTGGAGAGGAGGAAAATCCCAGACTATTGTAAAATGGCTGCCCTATGGGTGCTAGGCTGCTACTAGATCTTTTGTACAAGTCAGAACTAGTAGATAGAGACTCTCTCCTTGTGGCACTACTACTTGCAGAACTGCCAACTGAAGAAGAAATAAAAAGACCCTATTACATACAGTGTCAACCAAAGAAAACCTAGCCCCAACCTACAGCTGGGCAATAACAGATGTGATCACAATAATTATAACAATAAAATTATTCTGAAGACAATTACTGTGATAACCACACGATTTAATAAGTCACAAAATGAGTACAAGCATTCCTCAAATAAGGAAGAATTTAAAGTAATCACCAAGTCTTGATGCACTCAAGACTTAGTAACATTTTATAGTTTTTGATACTTTGGAGTCAGGCTTTGGGACCAATAGTCAGGTATGTTGTACTGTTTATTACGAACCAATGAAGCTGTATATTAAGTGGATGCTATTTTGGAAACAATTCCCCTCACTTTATTCAGCTGAATTATGAGAGGAAAAATATCCAGTGATAGCTTAAATAAGAGTTAGGATTTGTTCTGCATAAGAAACCCTAAATATTGCAATTAATGTTACCCTTACACTCTACAATTGACACTAAAAATTACCCCAGGTTCTGCACTTCTCAAGATCTTACAAACTGACCACACAGAATATTCTTGGATTTAAAAAAAGAAAAAGAAAAAGTCCAACAGTATTATGAAGCCAGATCTTAAAAGGATGTGGACTGCAGAAACAGAGTTATAGGGCTGGCTAGACACAGTTAAACAAGGAACAAAGTTAATTCTAGTTTGATGACATCCTTGTATATTCCCCAGTATTAGTTCATGTCAGTAATTTTCCAAATCATGAACTATCACTTACTGTAAAAATTATGTAATTGCAAAATGATAAGATAACCTGTTTATTTAGGTACCTTTGAAAATAAGATTTTGTCTCCCTATTTCACAAATGGGAGTATATATCCTGAACTTCAAAATGTGTCACATTAGTCAAATTTCCCCTTTGTTTAACAACACAGTCTATGTCCAAATTAAGTACTGTTTGTTGTAAAAGTAGATATAGAAACAGACTGAAGTCCACCAGCCATGCAAAACTCAAGATAAGCACATTTATTTGGGAAAGCCTTTCACCCACTAGAGATGTCTTTACATTTTTACCGTATTTCCCTTTTACCTAACAAATATTTTTTAGCACATCCAGTCAAATTATTGTACTGCAAAAAACAATGTGCAGTGGCATCTAAAGAAATTAAGCCAACTATTTTCTAGAATGCCACACACTCACATCTATTTGGCTATCTTAAGGTATGTGAAGCAGTTTAAAAATGGGTTTAAATGAGGGTAACTCAGTTTCAAATGCCAGCTCACCTATCATGCTCACTGCATGACCCAGAACAAGTCACTCTCTCAACCTAACCTACCTCAAAGTAGGGCTGCAATTAAATAATGCCCAAGAAACTGCAAGACTACAAATAAAGGTGTTTATTTGGTTATATAAATAGACATATCACTTTCATACTAAACTACCAAAGGGGAAAATACTTCAGAATGTGTTTTAAGGATACTCTCTCCCTTTGCAAAAATGACAGGAACATAATTCTAAGTTTTACCATTCATAGCTTTTAGTTGAAAACATCTTAAAAACTGCATATCAGGTACATTGTTACAGTACACTCTACCTGTCTACTCATTTTAAATGGACAATTACCAGTTGAAATAAAGACTCCAGGGAGGTTAAAATGGGGAAGCTGCTTATAACAGTCCAAAGAGTTCCCTTAGGTTCCCTAAAGCATATAAAAAATTGTTTCACATGGGACATTTTCCAAGGTCAAGGTGTGCAAGCTCACTTCTATTCTTTTGTAAAGTGCACAGAATTGTGTGTGCTTCACTCATGCCTTCGCCTTTGCAGTGTAAAGAGCTAACTACGTGTCTCACCACACATTAACATTTTTTTCAATAATATGCCATTTCCACAATCTAAGTAGTTTACCAGTTCTAGAATGGTGTTTATGCACTCATGTTATCACATTGTGAAAAAAGCAATAAAGATCACTGCACAATGAAAATAAAAGAAAATGACAATGTTTAAGCATGTTTGAACTGAATCAGTTCAAATAATAAAATAAAGCCTACATATTGCAAGATGTTTGAAAGACCAAAGGCTGTATTCTGAGACATTGGTAAAAAAAGGTCCCCTTTGTCTCTGCACACAGTGTCTGCAGAACAATATGGAATATTTGTTTCTGCTTTCTCTCACCATAGGATGACCTTAGTGGCAGGGAAAAGAATGCTCATCTCACTATTCAGATGTTCTTGAGAATGGACTTGTAACACTGAGAAAGGAAAACTGCTTTCTCACTGCCAGTAACAGAGCTCCTGATAACTGATGCTGCTAAAAGTGGTGGAGAGGGGATCTTTGTTGTTCACTAAAGCAACCCTAGTCTCATTTAAAAGACACAGGGCAGCTCCACCCTACAGATGCCCTTCCAACTCAGATCAAGCACCTACATTATGTTGCTTTAAGCGTTGTCAAAGCATTTTCTTTCCAGGCAATCATTTTCTGACTGGTGAATACATTCAAGCCACTGTTTCACTGATCTTTGCTTTTACTGTAACTTTTTTATTTTGTGCTCTCATTTTTTTGCACATAGTTCAAATATCTCTCAATCTGGACCAACTTTAAATTCTACAGTAAATGACTGTAGAAATAATAAATCACAAAAACAAGCTGTTTAAAATTGTCCTCCAAAAGAGAGCTACTTGCTACTAACACGAGCACATTAGGCATCGGATCTTATAGGACAAACTGCTTTCAACACCTAGGTTATTTTCAAGTCATAGTAACTCATACATCCTCTTTAATGTTTTCATTCTGAACAAATAAACAAAACTTACCAGATGAGCCAAATCCACCGAGTGCAGAACCAATAGCAGCTCCTAAGGAGCTGCTGCTTCCGAAGCCAAGAGATGTGTTTCCTGGTTGGCCAGGACCATGTGAAAAAAGTGAACTGCTCTGGGAGTTATTGGTCAAACTACTGTTGCCATAAAATGAATTAGATTGCAGACTGTTGTTTGTTTGCTGTTGCTGTTGCTGAGGCTGAGCACCAAGGGGTCGAAAAAGACCATTTGTGGCTCCTGTGAGATTATTTGCTGTTCCACCAGCTGAAGCTGCTGCAGCTGTAAGACACAGGGTTTTCCATCATTAGCAATAGTGTATTAGAATGATTTAACCTTAGAAACAAGCTTCCATTCTTAATCTCTCCCACAAAGGCAATCTTTCCCTGAGCTGACATGCATGATCACAACAAACTACCATGGTAAATTAGTCACAGTGGCTTGTTTAATGTTCAAGTGTGCATGAAGTGTCATTTCCCTAATTACACACTGTGCTTGGCATGCCATGTTATCCAAACTATGGGAGTATGGCTTGAATGAGGAGGAAGCAAGCTTCAACTACACGGAGGGTTATTTGAAAATGGTCTTCACCTAAGCATGCTGCCGAGGTTCAGATGACACAACAAGCCATGTTCAGGCAGTTAATTGGGAAAATAGCGTCTGAACTGCACTAGCGATTAAATTAAGACATGGAGGCTCAACTGCAGTGGCTTGTTTTGATCATGTGAATCTGATCACTATGACAAATTCTTTATTGAGCTGTCTAACCTGGAAACAATCCCAGTCACCAAGGTTTACACTACACAACCACCCACAGCAAGCCATGTGTGCCACACAAAAATAGTACCTGCAGTTTCTTGGCACAACATGACAGCCCTTACAGGTAAATTAACCCACCATGTGGATTCAAGATTAAAGATGCAAGAAAAAAAAAAGATCACTGTTATTTTGACTACAACTGCTGTAAGCCTCAGCCAGCGTAGTCAATAGCCAGAACACCTGTAATATGCCACCTTTCCTAACCCTGATATAATTCATGTTAGTCAGTGAAAACATTTTAGTGGCGATATTCAAGGTATCTTTACAGTTAGCACCAGAAGACAACATTGCTTTGAAAATGATTAGGGCTGCACAAATCCAACAGGCTTTCCCACTTTGGACAGGAATTCTGCCCTGCAGGCTCATTCAAAAGCTACTCTCTACCTTTTCTGCAAATCATAAAGAATGTGCAAGGAAAAGAATCTCAGTTACACTTTGGGTTTTTTGGAAGACAAAAGCAGCAGGACTTGTACCGTTTCTGCAGAGTATTACCACCAAGACAGTAAAAGTCCTGCCCTTCAGCAAATCGTTGAGCACACATGTCGAGTGGGTGCAGGCTCTCTTGCTGCTTCCCGCTTTCAGTACCAGCTGTGAAATGGGGGTCTGGAAGGTAGCCACTCACCTGCTCAAAGTAGAGGGGAAATGGTATCTCAAGTGCCATCATAATTACGTGCTTGTTCTCATATGCACTTGAGTTCCATTATTCCAACCATTGAAGCCTGGCTCGGAATAGCCAACAGAGAAATAGAATGTAGCACCATCCCCCTTCCCTGAGACAGATCTCCTGTGTAGCTATACTAGGCTCCGGTATCTTAAATACTAAAGGCACTATGTACCTTATGCCAGAAATATTTTTTTTTATTCTGGTTTGTCACGAAGGTTTGGAAAGTGAATGCAAGATATACTGAGTGCTTATAAAAATGAATGGTCAAACACACCATTAGTGAGTTTCCATTACTGACCATTAGTCACCTTAGTTAATTTCTTATTATTCTGTTAATGCTTATACATAAGCTTATCTTCAAGATCGCAAAGCATGTGAGCATAGGAAGCTTATACCAAGCCATACCGCTCCCCAATCTGGCACAGTATTATTGACACTGACTGGCACTGGCACTGACTGGGTTTCAGGTAGACACTTTCCTAGCCCTACCTGGTGATACCAGGGACTAAGCCTGGGACCTCCTACATGCAAAGCACCGAGTCATGTCTCCTCCCATGACAATGCTCACATTTATACCAGAATTAAGCAAAATGCCATTTAGATATTCAACCACATCCCACATTAGGTATGCCATCATTCAGTGAAATTCCTGTGTGCACCAGGATGGCTGTATTTACAACTGGCAATGCATGGAGATTACTGCCAGGATTGCAGCACGCTGCCGTTGTGGAAAAGGCTACCAAGTAACTGCCAACTGTAGTTGGTTCAAAAGCACAACCCCATGTCCCAGAACTTCTGAATCAGAAGCAAGAAGCTTCTGCATCAATACAGAAAATGGTAATTCAACTTTTATGGATAACCAGCGGAAAAAAAATAAATCTTGTCACAGATAGAAACAATGTAAGATCTTCCATCGTACCTAGCTCCATATTAACTCTGCAATGATTGGCGATGTCTTACCAGGATGGATTATTTCTGCCCCACCTGGAGATGCCAGAGATTTAACCATGTGCATGCTCTATCTCCAAACTATAGCTTTAGAACCTGTGTTCTTCACTAAACTCAGAAAGCAGCATGGAAGATCTACTTACCTGCTTGTGCAGCTGCAGAACTGATGAGAACAGGTGCTGAAGCCACCAACCTGACAGGTGCTCCAAGTCCAGTTCTGGCTCCAGGACCTACCACCAAGGCACCTGTCTGATCATAATAGGCTGTGGGGGCTAGCACTTGATAGCCTAACCAATACAAAAACACACACACTCCAGTAAATGCTTTTATTTTGCGATAAATAATTTTGCATCTACCTCACTATTTTTTAGACATCGAACAACCTGAATGCTTTACCATTTGCTTCCCAGAAGTAAAAATTCTAGTTCTGTTTTTTGCCTAAACTTTGATACACTCACCTGCTTGCCTAGGACTGAAAAGAAATTGTCCCCAAGTGAACAAACAAATGATTGTACCTGTCCCTTCCTCTTGCATTCATCTATTTTGCTCACTCATCAGTCAAATCAGTACAAGGCTCCCCCTGGCAGCTTGCCCTGACCTCTTAACAAGGCGAACTATGCAACATTAGGTAGGACAAAGGAGACTACAACAGTATTGTTACCCAATAAGCTGTATGACAAGCCCTTAAAGGAGGCTACTTGTGCAGGTGGTCAGATATTGCCAAATTATAACAGCAATTTGTTTAATTCATGACCACCTGGTGACATTCATGGTCCCTGGTTTTAGATGCCCCCCTTTGTTAGAAGTCCTAAACTTAATTAAGCTTAATTTTTGTCACCCACATGTAGGGCCCTGTCTATTTTGCTTTGCAGAAGTGTAAAGTAGAGGTGACAGTACGCTTTCAAAAACGCACTGGCATTTCCTTTGTCTTATTCTTAAGACCCTTACTGGCTTCCGAAATATGGGTTCAAGTTTAGAATCCTGCCAGTGGACCTTCAGAACTTGGAAAGTACTATCCCAAGATCTCATTTACTGCTATATTTGAAAGCCAAATATTTAATATCTATTAATATTAAATATCTACAAATAATTAAAAGCCTAAAGTTTATTCAACCGGCCCAAATGTTTGAGACACTTAAAGTGAACCAAATTCCTTCTCTCTTTTCATAAGCTGTTCTCAATAAGCTGCAGCAGTGGAAATGTAGTCCTACGTAATATTTTTTTTTAGAAAAATAGCTTTTATGTTACCTTACATTTGTAAGGGTTGTTTTTCATCCATGAATACTGAAACTATCCAAGTAATCCAGGGCTAATTTAAGCAAGAAATTTATATACATATTGCACAGGAGGACCCAGCATCCCCACCCCCAAAACTCAGGCTACTCCTGCACTGAGTGGGAAAGTAGAGTTATTACATCTCTACCATGAAAAATCCCCCATACTGTATTTGAGATAAATGAATCGGGGTGGATGCACTCTGCAAGCTGTGTGCAGTCTCTGAGGCTTTGAATCTATCTTGCTATACTCTCAATGCCAAAATTTGGTGGCAGTAAGCGTTTAGGTTCTTGCCACCAAAATTCAACAGGAAACCACTGCCAAAACGGATTTTAGCTTGTTTTCAAGTAAGGCTCCTTTGAACTTCCTACTTGCTGCTGCTATGCAGAATTTCAGCTGCAGGAGTACAGCCCATGGGGAGGGGGGGGGGATCTAAGGGCTGGAAAAGAACTCCTGATCCAGGTGAAGTAGCCAGCCCAATCTATAAGCACTGCTGTATGCTTGGCACAATGTGTGCCCAAGCCAAGGGACAAGGACAGAGAAAAAAATGCTTAACTGTATCATGTTTTTATCCTTTGCCACACAGGTGTGCAAAGAAGTGGTGAATCATGCCCATGAGCTTTATATAAGTAAAGATGAAGAACAAGGAGACAGGAGAGTATGTCTGTATTTTTGGGTACTGTAAATTGTATACCTGAAATCAATCAAGTATATAAACTCAAAGGGACATGAAAGGGCTTGTTAGAAAGGGAATTACACAGTTCCATATTACAAATGCACACACAAAACTAAACTGTGCTGTTCTACTACCTTCACTACCATTTCACATGCTAGCAAATGGTCAGGCTTTCACTGCACTCTGCTTACTGCTCTTCTGTAAAGAATGCAGAATAGGCTGTTAGAGAATAAATGTTACAAGTAACATAATGCAAACTCTTTAAAAATGAACTTGCACTATACAAAGTACTGGCTTATACAGGCAAATAGCAATTTACATGGTCACCATCAGGATGTGCTGTTGTTAGTACAAGGATGATGGTCCTAACACACTATGTATGTCCCTGAACTGGAATTCTGAACAAATGGTTTTGTTTGGATAAAACATCAGCCAGAATTCTGGAGAATCTTGGCTTATTCTGCACATTGCCAAATCTATCTACTTGGCTCCTCTCATTACCTATAACTAACCTAAAACTTACCAGGAAGAAAAGTGTTAGAGCCATGTCCAAGCCAGATTCCTGGCTTGTGCCAGGAATTGGAACAAACCTGGAACTGGAAACTACTTTAGATCTTGGCTTCAAACTCAGATTTGTTAGTTGAATGGCAAACTCAAGAGTCCTGTTCAGATGTAATTATAAGTTTTGGCTTCCTCATATCATAACCCCAGGTGGGAAGAGCCAAACAGAAGCAATCAGGCAGTCTGCTGCTTGTGCAAGAGAAAGCCAGAACTCTTAATTATTTTCTTTGCTGATTTATATTACTTGATTAGTAGTAGGTTTACAGAAGGGATTAACCCTAAATAACCCACAATGGCCAGATTTGTACAAACTGGCATAACCCCTTATTAAGCACCACCTATTCAAAATGCTGGATACACACACCTTTCATGCACTATGGCTCATCTTGAGTTAAATAATCTGTGATGAGCCAGCTGGCAATAAAAACTGGCCAACTCTTTTAAAATCAATCATAATTTGACCTGTTATCTCTAATAGCTAAAGGATCTGGATCCTATACCTTTCTTCTCAGGAAATAGAAAAAAATATTGCTATTCCTATGCCATTTTAAGGTATTTATAGCCTACCCTTCCAAAAACAAAACAAAACCTTTCCAGTTTAACTTTTGGATTTATCTTGAACAATTTGGTGTCATCTGCAAGTACTAGTTCACTAATAATGCGGTGTGTCAGTTGTTCATTTCCATTCACCTTATCATTTGGATTCTGAGTTAGATATAACATAAGCAATCAAAAATGATATATAATCTATGGCCTTTTTCTTTAGTGTTAGCAGTAAATTTACTGCTTTTTGCTTCCGCCAACAGCACTTTTAAGACCCCTGATCTCTCTAAAGCCCTTGAACAGTACTAGCAAGGTTATTAGTTTAACCACAAGGCATCGTTTTGCCAGTGTCTTGGCTCTGTATGTCAGCAATGCCATTAATTCTTTGAAGTCATTGTTCATCACTGCTGTTTCCAATCTCAAGTCAATCTGTCTTTCGAAAATATTGAACTGCAATTAGAAGAACAAAACCTCTGGCACCTTTGTCTTCATTGCACTTGCATAAAGAAAATACAAAATAAAATTGTTTAGTCTGTCCTCTGTCTCTCGTTGGAACACTTTTTAATATGTTGTACTCTATCAAATTCTAAACTCTTTAAAACATTTCTGTAGAGGTAGAAGTATTCTTCCACAATCAAAGTTATGATTCAAGCTTTGAATAATGAACCTCTATACATAGCATTAATGAGCTTCTATATAAACAAATCAAACAGCAACCTACCTGTACTCCTCCCTAGTTACACAGGGTGTGCGAATAAGGCTGCAATCTTATACACACACACACATAATTTGGAGGAGGAAGGCCATTGTGCACTATGAGACTTATTTCCAAATAAACATGTATGGAATTGTGCTGTAGCAGTACAATCCTATGCACGCTTACTTGGAAGTAAGTCCTCCTGTATCCAGTGGGGCCTCCTCCCTAGTTCTATACATGTGCGTGCACGCATGCCTATGTGCACATGCACTTCAGATTGTTTCCTTTGCATGTTAGACGTGCCAAGTCAAACAGACTCTGGTGTGGCTGAGGCTATGTTTCAATGATAAAAGATGTGGCTTGCTATTTGTCTAGTTTGACTAAACAGAATGATATGAATTCTGAAAGACACCACACCTTTGAATATCAAAGGATGCTTATATCATTTAGGTGTTCACTTAATATTTAGAATAGAGTCAAGAAAAAACTCCAGTGCAAATAGTAACTCCAGAAATTGATAGAAGTGCCTAATCTTGACCTGGAAGCTAACTAGGCTCAGGCATGGCTGAAATTTGGATGGCTGACCTAAATGTTGTGAACCACCCAGAGAGCTTCTGCTATGGGTGGTATAGAAATGTAATGTAATTATTATGCAATGGTTCTAGTTCAAAGTGCTTGCCAGAAAACCAATGCCAGAGCTAAAGTCTAAATTTGATGCACCAAGAATCCTACTTTCAACAGCCACTTTTCCTCTACTCTCTCTAGGGAAAAGATCACTCAACTTATTTGAGATGAGTAAAACATGCAAATTTTGCATGGCACTAAGCTCATACTGATGTTACATTAACAAATGAAGTTATAAGTTCTACCTTGGACCATGCCAGATAACCCATTTATCGGGGACCTGAAATGTTCTGAAGAAAAGCTACTTGAAGCAGTAACAACACTATCTGTAATCATGTCCAAGCTAGATTACTATCAGTCATTTTCAGCTGCCACTTATAGCTTTGTGATTTGCATAAACACAGACAAATACAACTATGAAAACAACAGTACAAACCTTAAAGTGAGTGCCATTCATGTAAATGCAAAATCTAACAGTAAAAGGCATGTGACGCAAATTAGTTTATCAATTAATGGAAGGCAGAGCTTTTCTAAATGCATGTTCTACATGCAAATGATTTAAGATCAATTATACCAGAATTTTTCAGAATCAGCATTGAAAAATTAATCACAAAGCACTAGGCTGTATGTTAAATAGTATCACAAATAATCTGTGTTACATTTAAGGTATAGACATGTGCACATACACACACATACTGACTCAGATTCAAACTGTTCATTGTACAAACTGAAGGCATTTTCAGTTTTGCAAGGGGATAATCTCACATTTATGGCTCTCCCCCACCAGTTAGGGGCAGATCCTACCCCCAGTGCATCACACCCCACTCCTATTGCAGAGAGTCCCTTGATTCTCAGGAGTGAATGGTTGGAGGATGCAAGGAACTATAGCAGGAAAGAGGAAAAGTGCCATTGTTCAACTACAATGCTGCCCATTTTTTTTTTTTTTTAAGGATACAAGGCATTATATCCTTTGGAAGACGCATTTTAAAAGTTAGTATTGAACTGTTGAATTCTCCTAGGGACAGTGCAGACATAACACCCTGCACTAAAAGGACTGGGAGCAAGCTATAACACCACACACTTTTTCCCACCTTTTCCATCTTGTGCACACATTTCTCCTGCCCTTATTCTGCCAGCCATAAATATGGTTAATGAAAGTCACATTTCAAAGTTTTACCCAAGCTGAACACCACAGTTATAAAGAAATGATAGCTATGTAGGTAATCTACTGTGATCACAACCAGATTTTAGGATATTTAGCTTGAACTTGTTCTTTGTTTCCTTAACTCATCGTTATATACCTGGCATGCCTGTGGCAAGACCCTGACCAAAAGCCAAAGCTGGATTTGCTGCCGCAGCTGCTGCAAGTGACTCTGCCTGCTGCCCTTGCTGACCCTGATTGGGAGTAAGAGGGCGCTGACTTCCTCCAGTACGAAGAACCTACAAAAGACCAATGGCGACACTACTTGCTTAAAATGTGAAGTATAAAAAATGGCAATATAATAAAAATGTCTGCGCATCTATTGTGTACTGTTGGGTTGTATTTTTAATATGCTTAAACAAAGACAAATGTAGCAGGCTTAGACTACTTTGACAAAGGAATCATGGCATAAGAAACATAAAATCAATGTTCAAGGACTTCTAGAACCACTCAACAGAAGTGCAGAAATAGAAAAAAATGCAGTCCAGACATTTTAGTAGATAAGTGTGGCAAGCAGATTATAGTTTTCAACATCCATCTTCACACTCACTCTCAGCCTTTAAACTTTTATCGCTTAATGTTTTAAGACTTGCCATAAACCTGGGGCTATGTAGCTTTGTGAGATATTTACAATCCTGGACCAATGCAGATGTGATGCTTGCTGGCCCTAAACCATGTTTACAGATGGTTCACAGTCTATGCAATGACACTCACTTCCCCAGTGCCCCTCCTGTAATGCAAATTCTCCTCACCACCTTTAATCATGGTTCACTGTTACTGTCTTGTTCATGTCATGTATAGTCAATACAAGCCAGGGTGTGTTCTTAACCTAGGATTTCAACCAAGAGTTTCACATTCTGGGCATGGCCCTGTTTTGGTTAATGGGAGTGCAGATACAATGACGAGCCATAGCTAAGGATGAAGAAAGGGAGCTGTGTGAGAAGCCTGTGATATGACCGCACTGCTCATTCCTGATCCATGGGAGAGGGGAGCAAGTACTATGCCTTCACTGACCCTTTTAGCCAATCTGCATTCATAAATTTATGTACATCTTTTAAAATGCTGTATTTTGCTCCCTCAAGAATGAAATAATGGAGGTTCAACAACTAGCAAGGTATGTTACTGTAGCATCCAACAGGCAATAGTTTTAAATACAGAGGGGCCATTAATGAAATTCTGCTCTAAAGGCTGGCAGAGACATAGCCTGATTTCCTAAATCTGATGAAGTGACTGCATAACATGCAAAGTCAGCCTTCTCTTATCTTTTCATAGCTAACCATGGTGCATATGCACATATTAACATTAACCATCGTTAGCTAAACTAGAAATGGTAAAATCACTCAGAAGTATGTTTAAGCAAACCATTACTACCATTATGACAGAGACAGAATACTACATGGATATACTCTGAAAAGGGGAGTCAGATGGGAAGAGATCCTAACCATGATTAGGAGCCTAAGAACGTTACATCTGCACCTTGCCTAAGGAGCACATCATTTCTAATAGTGTGTAGGAAACTGAAATAGAACATTGATAAAATATTAACATGTATCAATCAATTTCATTTGAAAAGCAGCAGACTTTTATTACTAGATCACATTATGCTGATCCATACATTTTTGATACTTTGTTTCAGTGTGTGTGTGTGTGTAAGGGAGAGGGAGAGAGGTGGGTTGGATAACTATCCTCATTCACATTCAGCAAACTTAAATAAAGTTAAAGGGTGTATTCAGTGGTGGCTTTGCATTAAGAGAAAGCACCTCTGCTTATGCAAACTGGGACTTCTGATTTCTGCCAATCCACCCACCCACTGCAAGCCCCAATAAATTGCTATTATAAAGCAGAGGGCTAAATTACGAAGGGGAAAGAACTGGTGAAAACTAGATGCCCCTGCATCATGTTAAGTGCTAAGCTACCAGTTCTATACAACCCAGAAATTGGTACTTAACAATGCTTACTGCATCATCTCATGTTGTATAGTGTGAATGATTTATGCAGCAGTTTTGCACTAAAATCATTTACAAATCAGACCAAATAAGATTAAAATAAAAGCTGCATGAACAGCAAGTAAAAAGGGAAGTTCTGACTTTCCTGTGAATTGTTGATCTTCTATGCAGAAAGGTTGCAGCTGGCATTCAAAAAAGCCCTATTAAGCAGAGTTGAAAAACTCTACAATGACAAAAGCTGCAAAACTTCTTATCCCAATTCAGCACAGAACAAAAACTGACAGCAGTAACAGACCTCCCTCAAAGACTGGATTCAACACTGAAGGAAGCTGTTAGGCAGCAGTTCTAGCTGCAGAGAGAATAGTACAAATGGTACAAAGAGGTATCATCCCACTCTCAAAACATGAGATTTGAGGACTATGAGATCAATAGCCCCAAGCAACCTGCTAGATTCTAAACTAGAAATCAGTTCCATATTCTTCCTTAGACCAGAATACCAGTGAAGCTACGGAAACCCTCTAGAAAGACACAGAGACATGTACTGTCCATAGAGTTGGTAAATGACAGCTCTTCACACCACCCTCTTTCATGATCTAGTGGACTATGGATGGGATTGTAGAGTGAATGCTTGAGCCTTGTCAAAGGCCATGTTTACCTGAGAAGCAAGGGAGATCACTTTTACTCTGGTGAGAAATACATTTTCATAAACAGGAATCCTCAAACTCAGATAGTTGATGCACAATATTAAGTGTTACCAGAAAAAGAATTTTCAGAGTAAGACCTTTGCAGGGGTACCACGATGGGTTTGAATAAAGTTATAATAAGCCCCTCAAAAATAATATTTATGTTTAAAGTATCCTGTACATCTGTGAATGACTAACAGAAAGTGCTCTCAGGAACTGACAGATGTGCAGTGGACAGACTAGAAAGGAGGAAGCTGAACGGGGAGCAGATACGCAATTTATTAAGACCATCTCTTCCATCATGGGAAAGAGAGGGGAAGGGAAAAGCACTTGCCTCTGGCAATGGCCATACTCTTGGTTTGCAATTATTACTATCATTCCCTATGTGAACAGGACAAGGGAAGAAGTAGCTAAACAGATAAGGCAGTAGGCCAGGTTCATCTTAATCTTCTGCACAATATTATTTATTATTACACTGCATTTATATCCCACCCTTTTCCCCTTTGCAAGAAAATGAGGCAGCTTATATACTTCTCCTCCTTTCCATTTATCCTCACAACAATAACCCTGTGAGGTGAGTTAGGCTGAGAGTGAGTGAGGGGCCAAAACTCACCCAGCAAGTTCCTCCAGGTCCTTAATCCAATACTCCAATCACCACACAACTGGCTCTCAATAGGCCAGGTAGATGCTCTTCCCATTCAAATATTATGTTGGTAGGTGAGGGAGTGCAAGGCCTCTTTATTCCTTCAGAGGTAATGAAGAGCAGTGGATAAAGAGCAGTGGAATCTCCCAAAGGAAACATGAACTCAGGATACCTTGTGGGCATTACCTGGAATTATGGTGGTTTCATAATCCCATGTGCACTGCTCAGGAAGCCACAGTTTAGAAAGTTGCTACAGGCTCTTTTATGGTCCTTGCTGGGTGGTAATACGGTGGTTGTGTCACAGATCTACCATCTGTTGCTCAGTAACTGCATAGGGAAGTGGCAATATTGCTCAGCAGTCCTGGGAGACATGCTTATGAATCCATAGCCAACTGTACACAGGCAAGACTGTGGTGATGATGAGTCAATAGGATTCTCCTTCATTTCTGAACCAGTATGGAAGTTTAACCAGGAAGATAGTTTAAGTAAGAGCTATCCTACCTGCTTAGTTCCTTCCCTTCCTCTATATGATCTTGTACTTTTTTTTGGGGGGGGGGGTTGCTAAGAGGCCTGCAACCAGACTTAAATCCAACATTTAAATTTTGTGAGCAGATGTCTACTTGTACAATGGAACTTTTTCATGCTCTCTTCTCCATTGCATCCCCTGCACCCCCCTCAGATATTCGCTAGAGGGTACACAGGGCTGCACTGAAGAGGTGACACCAATTCTGCCAGTGGTTTCCTTTCCATAGGCAGATTACCAATACTGGATTCATCCCAGCTGAAGCATGTCTGAAGGCAACCATGCTAGGGCAAATGGAGGGGCCTGTCCTCTTTCTGCTCAAAAATAGAGGCTGCCTTCAAAGTTCAGAAGCCAGATTCTTTTGAACCAGAGCTCTCCCCGAACTAGCTGCCCCCTTCCCTGGGAGATGATGAACTGAAAACTGATGATCTGAAAATGAAATATGCTGGAAAAATTAAAAGTTTATGAACTGCATACAAACTACTGTCCAGCAAGTTGTGTGTTATTATTTACTTTACTTCTATTACTTTTTCCACAACAGTACACTCTGCTATAAGGCAAACTGTGCAAACAGACAACTATTTTTAAAAAGTCTTCAGGTGTCTAAATAGCTGGTTTACCTGCTGCTGTCCTTGTTGTGCCTGTGATGCAGCCTGCTGATTAGCTGTGTTGTTTGCTGCAGCTGCTGCTTGCTGCTGAAACAGGTTGGCTGGATACACTCCCCAAGGAACTCCATAATACTGAGGAGGGACCACTGTTGGCCCTAACAAACAAACAATATGTCATGTACAAATATGATCTGTAGTAATAAGTAGTATTACTTGTAATAATAAGTTGATAAATAGTAAGCAAAGTCTTCTAAAAATATTACACAATGCAAAAATAAACCAGACATATGATAAGACCTATCTACTGATACCCTCCTGCAGTGGAATGATTCTCCAAATACCCAATCCAGAATCCAAAACACAGATTTTCCTCTTTCTGCCTCTAAAGTATTTCCACATTAGAATTAGTGAAAGAATTACCTTCCTATTGGAAAGTAATCAAGTCCCGTAAGAAACAAAGAGACTGAAAAGGAGGATAAAAAGGATACACAAATGTTATGTGAGCTGTAGCTATTTTCCAGAAATGTTATTTCTTCTCAGACTTGGAAATAGTTTGGATCATTTAATATAAAGGCACAGCATTTAACAACCACCTATACAATGTGATTAGCCTTACTTACAAAGTGATTCCCCACAAAATCAAAAGCAGGCACACTTTCCTATCTTCAACATAGCCATTTGAATGCACACTATGACACATCTTCAATTCCCACCAGTTCTCCCCCTTTCATGCAGTCAAGGCACACCAGCAGAAGCATATGGAAGGTATAAAAAAAAGCCAGAACTGCAAGTGGCACAGGGATAATGCTATAAAAATAGCGATCTACTGAACACCACTGTCAGCACACAATAAATGTAAGAACAATTAGAACAACTGAAAGCCAAACATTCGAGGAAGGAATTTGGAACATCCCTATGACTGGCATGCTGATGGTTATGGTTGTGGACATAGTGGGAATCATCATTTAAAAAGTCATTCTACACCACACAGATCAAGCAAATTAACACGAGCAAGAAGGCACCCATGCAATTTGTAATGTACTTCTCATACAAGATGAATACTATGTCTGTCCTTAACCAGCGAACTCCCTTTGCATTTAAGCATGTATTTAAACCTGCATTTTTTTTCTGGTCTCAAGATGGGTGAAGGGATGACTCAGAAATTAGCTGAATGCCTAAATAAGGAAAATTTCTTGGAAAAAAGTAAACTGATGCTTGAAAACGCAATACTTGACATTGCACCAATTGAAGGAGGCCTTATTTTCTTCATCAAAATCTTTGCTTGTATAAGTTCCTCAGAAGTCATATAGTTGTTACTGTTATATGCATCAAGTCATTTCCAACTTATGGTGACCCTATGAATGAAAGCCCTCCACAATGTTCTGTCCGTAATTGTTCTGTTCAGTCTTCCAGTTGGAGGTCACGCCTTCCTTTATGGATTTAATCCACCTCATATCTGGTCTTTCCTTTTGTCTTCTGCCTTTGACTTTCCCTAACATGATTTCTTTTCCAGGTAGTCTGACCTTCTCATCATGTATCTGAAGTATGACAGCATCAAGTTTCATCATTCTTGCTTCCAGGAAAAGCTTGATTTGATCTAGGACCCACTTATTTGTCTTTCTGTCTGTCAAGGGTATTCACAAAGCTCTCCTCCAGCACCATGTTTTGAATGCATGAATTTTCTTCATGTCAGCTTTCTTCACTGTCCAGCTTTCACACCCACAGACTGTGATTGGAATATAATTATTTGGATGATCTTGACCTTGGTCTCCAGTAAACATCCTTACACTGGATTATTTTTTCTAGTTCCTTCATTGCTGCCTTTCAAGTTTCATTCTTCTTTGAATTTCCCTTTGAATTGATGACTGAGCTGAGGCATTTGAAAACTTTCACAATGCACTGCAAATCTGTTCTTTGTGTGGACTTTAAATTCTTTGGGTATGTTACTTAAGTTATATTTTGGCACTATTTTTCTGTTAGCGATTTTTTTAGCTTAATTCTGATTGTTGAATGTAAGAGCTGATGGTCACTACCGTAGTCTGCCCTTGGTCTTCCTCTGGCAGCCAGAATACAGCTTCTCCACCTTCTGCTTCTAATTATACAACCTATTTAATTTCTGTAAAGGTCATCTGGTGAAGTCCATGTAATACAATAATCTGAGCAGTCTGCTTGAAGTATGTCTTTGCAATGAATACATCGTTGATTTTGCAAAATTAAATGAGTCATTTGGTTTCATTTTTTACCCCTAAGCCAAATTTTCCTGCAGCATTTGATTCTGCTTTGTTTCTACCTTATGCATTCCAGGGACCTAGGATTAGCAGCATGCCTTGTTTTGGTGTGTTATCAATTTCCTCTTGAACACCTGTATAAAATTTTCCACTTCTTCTGCTTCAGCATCTGTTGTTGGAGCATAGCCTTGAATGATGGCTATGTTGATAGGTTTTCCACTAATTCTGACTGATATTATTTGGTCAGATTTTGCATTACAGCTTCTTACTGCCTGTGCTACATCTTGCCTCAGTATTCCTATAGTGCACAATATGAAATCTTGGCAACAAGGCAGAATGAAAAAAGATTGCTAAGATGGAAAAAGACACATATTTCTCAGACTCAAAAAAAAAAAGAAAAAAAAAAGGAACAGCTATCTTAAAACTTGAACACCTCAACTTTCTTGTAAAGTCTTATTTGCCTATGTCCAACACAATGTATATGGAAAAGCACCAACTTAAGCATTTCTAGAAAAGAAGAGATTGCCGTAACTGGGCAACAGTTCTGTCTTACCTGCTAATGTAGCTGCTGCAGCTAAACCTGCTGCTGTGTATGGGTCAGCACCTGGTGGAGCAGCGCTGATAATGTAAGGGTTTGGCACAAAAGCAGCTGGAGCCAAGCCTGCTGAAAATACACCTGTTACAGTAACAAAAAGTTCAATTTCACCAAAAACAGACACCATGTATACTGTTATATCATACAACCAGTAGATTTATTAGCCCCGAAAATTCACTGCTTGATGGGGTTTCAGAAGATATGAAAAGCACAGTACACACCACTTCTATCATTTAACTGCCAGGTTCATGTTCTACCGCCAAAAATATTCATAGTTTCTGTTGACATCTTAAACTGAAGATGAAGTCAGGGGACTGTCCACTGCTCTCCTCACCCTGCATCCCCATGTGTTCCAAATCTGCTTCAGAAGGTGTTTCAACACTGCCAAGTAGATTTGGAACATGCACAGGGGAAGGAAGGGAAATCCATTTCACTGGTGAACAGTCAGCGCTGAATTACATCTCTAAATACACTAAAACAAGCATTTCAGGAGCTCAAAACATATTGATGTAAGCAATTAAAAAAAAAACTGACTTTGACAATCTAGTGGTTGGTAGGACCCCAAGTAGGCACATTAGACCCTAAGTAACCTCTCACTCATCTAATTTGCTTTTTCCTTCTCACACCATTGTTCTCTACCTCTCACCAGTCAGCAGTGAGGGAGAAAGAAGACAGCAGGCCTACCAACTTTCTGCTTCCTCACTGCTGAAGTGACTGCAGCAGGAGAAAGACGCAATGGTAGAGTGTGTGAGAGAGCAACAGCTGGGGTAAGACTGGAGGTAACAGAAGCAGAAGAAGCAGAGGTGGGAATAAGGCAGGAGAAACAGTAAGTGAAGGAAAGCCTGAATGGGAAAGAGTGGAGGGAACAAAAAGAAGCGGATGAAACCAATATGGGAAGCTCAGGGAGTAAAAATAGAGGTCAGCAGCCTCAAAAAAGTGTTAAGTGTGCCCCCATGACTGAAAAAAAAAATATCTAAATTGTTTAGATGTTTAGTTTGAGCAAATTAAAAATGTCACATGTGCCTACAGGCCCCAAAACTCCAGTTTTAAACTATGTACGTGTACCTACATTGTTTGGCAATCAAAATGCAAAGGTGATCGCCAACACTGCATCGGAAAAGGGCAGCTCATGCAATGGATTTCTACCTTCCCCCTGTCCTACCTGCAGCACCCAATACCTCCAAAAAAAATTCAATGGACAAGGCTCCTGATTTCAAGCTATTCCCTTCCACTGGAATGCACAACTCATCATGTTTGGTAGGTCTCACTGACTTTCTCAAGAGGGAGGATAGGGAAGCAAAAGTTCTGTCGCACGAACTGGCCTTCCACTTAACACAGTAATGGACATCGTATGAAAAATATATTTATTCAAACCCATATGCACAGTTATGAAACAACTTACGTACACACCTTTTTAGTTAATTTCCTAATCCAGCCCAGACTAAGAAGATTATTATTAACATGTACTTTGAAAGGTATTTTATTTGACATCTGAGGGAGGCATACTTTGAAAGAAGTCTCACCTATGTGTGGTTGCTGTGCTGCTGCCAGGGCATACTGTTGTTGTTGGGCTGCTGTTAACTGCTGGACAGTAAGAGGATTTGTCCTCTGAAAAAGCTAAGAAGAATGGACAATTTAATACTCTATCTTCAAGAAACCCCACATTATAATTTAAACAATGAACTATGCCCAATACTACTTCTTGGAGTTCTTGTCGCAGGACTGTCCAACATAGTCATGTCTGAATTTTAAAATCAAGGTAGAATTCATTTATATGAAGCATTGGGGCAGAATTACGTATGATAATAAACATTTGGCTGCTGCCAATGGTGGCCCTATGAGGCACACTGTCATTTGTTTTCTGCAAAATGTACCAGTGACCTATGGCTATCACACAGTTTGCTATCCATCCAGCCAGTAATAAGGAACTGGTGTGGGGAAATCAACTGGATGATGACTACAGGACACAGGTAAAGACAAAGGGTGCAGAACTTTATGGAACGACCATTAGCAGTGGCATAATTGTCATCATGTAGTAATTCCACTTTTAACATGACTGTATGAAAACACTAACCTGCTGCTGTGAATTGTAATCAAAGAGTCCCACAGTAGCTCCAGAAGAGTCCATTTGTACCTGATTTCCGGGATAATCAAATTGCAGAGAATCAAGACCCACTTGTTCCATAGCATCCAGATTCTGAGATTCAGAGTTTGAAAATTCTTCCACCAGTGGCTTATGGGTTGCAGGATTAGGAAGGGAAGCCAGCCCTTCTGCGGTGCTTGGGTTAGGCCCGAGACGCTCAGTTACTTCAGTTGGGGAGGCTTGCCGACTTCCAGGAGTACGACTGCTTAAAGAAAAACAGGGCTTCTATAAAGCACAACTGTTTAAATAACGGAACTTGAGAATCGCATATACTAAACAAATAATTTGAAAGTGACATTTATCTATCATTCCATGTAACAGCCAACTCAGATGGTTGAATGCAAAAACAGCTAAGGAGGACCAAGTATGCTCAGTGGGCTCCAGGAGTTACAGACTGTTAAGCAGCAAATGAAGGAAACTGGAAAAAATGAGAAGATGGAAAAGAACAGCATGGCTGATGACCTAGATGACCTGCTACTGTTAGGGGGGGGAAGGATACACAAAATTGTGCTGTTTCCACATGTTACTATATGTAAACTAAATAAGCTTATGAACAAAAAGGCCTCATGGAAAAACTGACTGTGCAACAGGTGGATACAGAAAATATGGAAAGAAACTTTACCCCTAATTATAAATTTCTCACTTACTGTTGACTGATAGATACGCTTCAGCTGTGCTCACCTTTCAGATATGATCACATCTTTGTGATCAAACAAGCTGTGTCTACTGTACATCTTTTGTCTTTGACCCTGACACTAGTAATGAAGGAACAAAAATTCAAGTAACACTTAGCCATAACGTTACACAAAATAAGTGCAGATTTTTGATGAGATGTTGGATGTGAAAGTGTATCTGGAAGAGAGATCGGTCTCTTGCCATAAAAATGCATGAGATAACTTTATCAAATATACTGTTGGAATTAGCTAATCTGTTTAGCCTCTAATTTGTGCAGGTTAATTTGAAGCTGGGTCTCAGCAAGTCAGCCAGGGACATCCTTCTACTCATAGGGATGGAGGCTGTCCAAATTCCTGATGGAAAATAGTTTCCCAATCCTGATTTAAAGCTGTCCAGGTTGCCAACACTTGTTTCACAGAAACCAGATTAATACTTTAAATAAACGAAAGCTGAACTGGTCTCATGACATGCTGCACATATTAAGATGTTAAGTATTACACAAAATACAGTACAAATTATTAAAATGTACAAATTTTATTAAAATGAAAAACTTGATATTCCAATCCCTAACAGTTTTATTTCTTACAAATACACTTTCAAATGGCTTCAGGCTTACATAAAATCTTTGCAATCAGCATCCATTCCATTTGGCAAAACTCTGCCATTTAGTTTAGTAACATCATCATCATCTCCTTGTTTAAGATCTCTGTTTTTGTCCTCCTCAAATGGAGAAGCTTTGCCTTTCTGGTCTCCTTTCTCAGGTCCATCTGTTTCAGCTTCTCTAGTACCCTGGGGAAAAAGAACATTTGATTCTGAATCAAACATCACAAAAACAGCATCATAAAGAATCCCAATTCTACACTTTCCTGCATGTCATATATGCACCTGTGCTTTCAGCATATGAAATGAAACGATGACTACATGTGGTCATCCCAGATAAAGTGGTGTGACTCAATAATGCTCACAGGAAAAAATATATACATTCTGACTGTGGGAGAGAGCCCATGGACACTGCTGCTTATCAAACTAGAAAATAACTTTTTTTTTTTTTTTGCTGATTTTCGCCTTCCCTCTGCAGCTTGCTAAGCCACCTTCTCGTATACTCTTCTAAAAGGTCTTCTTCCAACTTTCTGGAGTAGATTTGAAGAAATCAACAAAAATAACTTCTTTCCCTTCTGTGAATGGAGTCCCACTGACAGAACCATTTTCAACCTATTAACATAACTCTAGGCTAATATATACTGTAAAACATAAAAAGCTAAAGTAACTTCTATTTATCATATGAAGTTGTAAGGAAAAAAATCATGTTATTCTAATTATTTTCTAGCCCATGAATTTAACCTTCAGCTTAATCTAAATAACCTCATCAAATAGTTCTTCATGTCATGGCCTCAATTAAGGGTTAAAAATGAGGGTGAAAGTTTTTTGCAGTTGAAGTGAAGATACATTTAACATACATATTTAATCTGTTTTGAGAACTGACCTCCAGGGGCAGGAAACCTCTAAAAAAGTTCCAATGAGTACAATGAAGTCCTGCATGTTATACTTTGGTTCACAGCTATTATTTGGAAGAAAATAATATTCATACAAATAGCATAGCAGGTGTACACAAGCACACTATTCTTGTCTCTGTACAGAAAATATAGCAGTAAATAGTCTACATCACTTTTGTTGACATAAACAAGTTACTTACAAAAGCTCCTTTCCTAAATCGGGAGTCCAATTTATCTGCTGGAGAAGAACTTAACACATATTCTACCATGCTCACACCAAGGCCACCACTCTCTGATCGAGGAGATAAGACAGCATTTACTTCACTGTTTCCATGAAAAATATGCCCAGGCTTTCTCTGAACCATAATAGGCTGGGACATAGAGTGGTCTGTTTGAAAAAAAGACATTAAATTAACCAGATATATGTACACCAGCACAGAGTGTAGCAGATTTTCAGATCACCAAACATAGTATCATCCTTCCCCACTAATTTAATTTCCAAATTGAGTTCAGATCATGCATTTTTAAAATACACAACACTTACGAGGTGTTCCCCAGGCAGCTTCTCTCCATTCATCACCAAGGAATATGCCTTTTTGTCCATCCTTCGCTGGATCATCTGGTTCCCAAAATTTTTTGGCAGGTAGCAGCTGTTTAGAAAGGAGATACCAGTTTAATGATTAATTCCCAAATTATCCTTGCATAACAGGGATAAATCAGTTTCCCCTTGTCTCTAAGCCTTCCTTTTAACTAAACTTACCACTGAGCATTAACATAGTTCTTGGCAATCAAACAGTGACCAACAGCTGTGAGTCAATGCCTTGCTTAGGTCATAGTGCATTCAAAGTGCTATCTGTGTAATCATCTGCCTGGGGATGACTTGTCATGTTGTCCAAACTCCATGGGCTGTTGCTGTGTTCTTTCAAAGTTGTTTCTCCTCCCCACAAGTCATTCATATGCTACTGCTTAAACAAACCATGGTTTGTTTAACCCATAGTGACAGTGTGAACTGAACATTTAAGTTCATTGAGACATTCCATTAAGTGATGCATTCCTAACGTTGATAGCAAACATGCTGGTACATAAAGGCTGGAACAGTGTATGAGTTTGATTACCACCTATGTCCAGTTACATGAATTTAAGCACATCTGAAAGGTCTAAATACGTATAACGAACTATATGCAGGCCTGTAACATTACTGATCAGCTCCTTACTGAAACGAACTATAACGCCCTAACTAACAATTCAAAGTATTTACAGGCAATACCAGAACCAGAATGGCCATGAAGCATAATTAGTTTTATGCTTCATGGCCATTATACCTGACTGCTCCTCGCTAGTTTAGGGGCACATCAATGTAACTTGTATCAAACTGCAAATCGTACAAAATTTTACTGGTCCCATGAACCAAAGTTTCTTCTTATAATCCATTTCCATTCAGTCATACAGTTGTTTGCAGATTCTAATCTCACCTGCACGTTTATGATGGGTGGTATTTACTGTTTAAGTTATTTTACATAATGGCCGTGTTTCTTGTGATTTGCTTTTCACATCTACAGGTGGATCCAAATATCTGAACATGTGGGTGAATAGAAACTGACTTTCCTGCTAACCTCCAGACCCTCCCGAAAATGCTCCCTCAAGGGTTGGAGAACTCCTTCTTAGTGGACTGTCATATGAGGGACTAAGAGAAAGATTGCAGGATATACGTAAAGGGAAGACAGTCCCTCCAGCTGATTTTCTGCCATCTTCCTCTTCCCTCTGCATCAGAGCCTGTTCCACTCACAAGAGCGCCCAAGCCTTACACGAAGCGTTTTCAGGGGGCTCTAGGGAATGGTGGGGACAGAATACAGGGCAGAAAGTCAGGTTCTGCCACAAGAAAGTAACTGGATCCAACTTGATATAGATTTAGTTTATTTACGATGTATGGAGATTTGTTTAGCATCTCTTTCCAAATTATGACTTCAAATTAATAGGGTGAGTTGATCTCCTTCTCATACCCCAAAACATGAAAATTCACCTTCCTATTGATGATTTTGAAAAACAAGTGTTCAATATACAGTACCTTACAAATATACTTCTAAAACCAGGAAAAAATGGGGTTTTGCTTCACATCCCATGCAGCTTAGATAGGGTTTCCAAGTTACCAGTTCTAAACCTAGGAAAATATGTCAGCTATTTCAGTACTTTAAAATTTTGTAACTTGGAGTGATTGGCTGCAGCTACAGTTAAGATACTTATGTCCCACTGAAATAGATGCTGTCCTCTGTAAGAAGTATTTGATCTCTAAGAAAGAGAAACATTACAATGAAAGAAAAGTTATATATAAAATGCAGTTTTGAAGAAATTTGATTTTCTATTTTTTAGTATGGACTTTTTTCCTTCTTACCCTACTTACAAGGAGGAGTATTTATAGCTACTGCCTCATAGCCCAAAACTATTCAGGAATTTCCATCCTTAATCCCACAAATTGGTGAAATGACCTGCTCTATTATGCCTTCTACTGCCAATTAGGTGAAAGCATTTCACAAAAGCCATAAATTATTTTTTGTTTTCCATGAATGCAGAAGTGGAAATAAGCCATACAATAGTAAGTAATTCCTTACAAGTACTATGGCATTTAGGTGACCTGTTCTTTTGTTCAAGTATCACTGTAGGTAGTGTGGGGAAGGTAAGGAAATATGATGTATTGAGCATCCAGGGTCTCCTCACAGATCCCCTTTGGTATAATCCCTATCAAGATGGACATGTTGCAGTGTACAACAAGTGAACAGAAAGAAACCCAGTCTGGTCAATCTTTTTGAGCTTTCACTCTCTCCGTAACTTGTGAAACTGAGCCAAGACTGATAAAGCTGGTAATACCTGGGATGACTATACTGTAGCTTCTGTAAGTTATTTCTGTAGTCCCCATTCACTGAAGATACAATGGGAGATGGTATTGGTAGGTGGTCTTTGGTATGGGAACATACCATACAGTGTGATTATGTTACTGTTTTCAGCAACTTCATTGTCATCAACAACATTCAATGTAATTTCTGGCAAACACATTTTGCTCACTATCTATGGTGCAACTAGTTTAGTCTCTTATGCCTCTGAAGATCATGCAGGCTGACACATAACTATATCCCTTTACTAACTATATCCAGGTGAGGCAGTGACTGCTCTAAACCACTGTTTGAGCTTATTAATGGAAGGGATGTATGCCAATAAGCTGAAGTGCATCCAGATAAGTTGGAGGTGCTGTTGGTAAGGAGTCCATCTGTTCAACTGTTGAGTTTTCAACCTGTCCGGGATGGGGTTGCGCTCCGCGCTAAAGGACAGGATTTGCAGCCTTGGAGTGCTCCTGGATCCTGAGTTGTCACTTGTTGCTCAGGTGACTCATATCTAGGAGTGCTGTCTAGCAGCTTTGGCTGATTTATCAGTGGCATCCCTACTTGGATCAGTGGAGCCTTGCCATGGCTACCCATGTGCTACTAACCTCCCACATGGACTGCTGCAATGTGCTTACCATGGGGCTGCCTTTGAAGACGGTCCAGACATTGCAACTTGTTCAAAATTGTGCAGCGTGCCTGCTAACTATGACCAGGATTTGTGAACACTTCACACCAGTCCTATACAGGCTACATTGGCTGCTAGTTGCCATCTGGGCCCAATATAAAGTGCTTACATACAAGGCTCTGAATGTGCCGGGGCCAAGTTATCTGAGGGAGCACCTCTCTCCATATATACCCTTCCTATCTCTTAGGGTTAACATCCAAGGCCCTCCACTACATTCCTTCCTTGAGTGGGTTGGCAAAGAGGAGAGCATTCCCTTGTATTGCACCCCAGTTGTAGAATTTGATTACGCAGGAGATCAGGCATGTGCCAACTCTATACTCCTTCAGATGCCACCTGAAGACCTTTTTGTTACGCACATACTCTCTAGAGTAATTTGTACGGTTTGTATTTAAATTTGCTGCTGCAACCATTTTAACTGTAAAAATGTATAGTAATTTTATTTTGGTTGTTAATGATGCTGTTTTACTGAATTATTGTTTACATTCTCCCTGTTTATTAACATTTGTTGATTATTTAATTTATATATTTAATTTGTTTTACTATTACCTGTTGTTTTATAATTATTAATTTTATCAATATTATTGTCTTATTGTATTGATGTATTTTATTCTTGACTGTATGTAACCTGTTCAGAGAGCCTATGGCTAATTGGGTGGCATATCAATCAATCACTCAAATAAACAAACAAACAAACAACACAGCCAACTTTAAAATATATTTGCACATCATGCTGCCCAGACTATGCAAATCTGGTTTCACATAAAATTCAACACAGAAATCTTTTGACGATAAATTAATTACAACAGGAATAAGTAATTTCATGGCTGTATTCTCACTGCTGCACCACTAAATCTGGCAGTGGCAAAACCCCTGAACATTTGCCACTGATTTTCAGCAACAAGCTATTTGAGAACAAGCTTAATCGAATCTTTTAACCACTCTACAGTAGTTGCCATTGAAATCTGGTACCAAACCATCAATTTTGCTGCTACTGCAAATTGGCTCACTGACTCTACATTTATTTATTACATTTGCATGCCACCACATAGCCTGAGGCTCTCAGAGCAGCTCATTTAGACGCCTAATTATATCTTTAATGAAAACAAAAGTATTCAACCCTAAAACTGTTTTAAGAATGAGCTCTCAAAGAGATTACTCAATGTGGTGCTGTGTGGCCAGCACAAAATGCTACCTGTTATCTCCAGACAGGCATAGGGCATATAGGAGCTCACTGTGCCAATTCTGGTTCAATTTCACTAGCTATCTGTTTGCATGTTCTGTTTTTTTAATTCCCTATAGGCTGACTGGCCTTTTATTCTGGTTGTATTTCTTAGTTTAGGTGATTATTTTTAAATGAGTGTGATGGCTGTTCAGCTCTTCTTTTAAGGCTGGTTTATCAATTTGGGGATTACAAATTCTAAGCAAATGTCAACTGTATAAAATTGCATCTATAAATATTTACCTCTCCCATTCCCCGAGATTCTAGTGCAAGAGCTTGAAACTCATGATTCATTTCATCCACAGAGCAACCCTACAAAAATGACAAAATAAAAATTAGAACACTGCAATGATTTCACAGGAAATACACATGCAACAAATATAACAAGATCAATGCAATGGCTGAACAAATTTAAGGCAGCATACACAACCAATACTTCCCTTCCCGTCCTCACACCTGCAGTTTCCAAAGTTAGACAGAAGAATGACACATGAAAGCAATTTCGGGCAACTCCCCTTTAGACTGAAGTTCCTGGTGACACATTCAAGTACAGGAGACTGAAAGATTAATCTAAAAAACCCTATATTTTAGAACTTACTAAATGTTTGCATAATTTACTATATAACTAACACAGTATGTCCTATATTTTATTAAGTTTCCCAGTTGAAAGGCACCAGCTAGTTCTCTTATTTACTCAGCGAACAGTCTGAAAAATATCTGCAGAAACATATTGCTTATTATCTAACATAAAATCTTAAAAAGTAAGTACCGGTATCATAAATACAACTGATGTTACCTGTGCATAAAGATATGCTTTCTACTATGAGCATATAAGAAATGAAGGAAAAGCTTACAAGGTCAAGCAAGAAAAATGTACAGTAATCATACTACAAATATATTTCAAAGAAAATGCCTTGATAAAAAGAAGAAATACTGAAAAGGTGATTTAGTAGTACAGGATCTACTATCTGCAAACACAACCATCTCTCCCACAGGTCAGCCATGCCTTGCCTATTAAGTCTAAATACAGGTCCTCAGAATAGACTTTAAATCCCTTGACTATACTAGTGATAGTCAAATGTTAAAGAGCATCCATGCTCAAGTATTTGAAAAACTAAATTAACACACTCAGCACAAAGGAGGAGATAAATCTCCTGAGATTTTTAATATAAAATTAAAAGCAAAAGAGCAAGGGAAGTTAAGGCTAAACCAAATTATTGAGTTTAACTGTCTGAGCCACAGACTGAATCAACTGTTCAAACAAAATTGCCACATAATTAAAATATTTCTAAGGAATGATTCATCACAGCCATACTTGCTGGTTATCCACCATCTTTCATTATTTGGAAAACAGAAATTCTAAAAGCTGAATGCCCAACAATTGTGTATATCATAACACTTAAAACACAAACGTATTAATTCTAATTATAATACTATCCACCTTGTAGGCAACTTTAAACAGACTTGGTTACACAATATATAGATTAATGGACTTTCGGGAACATAGGACCTTGTTCAAATATGTGAGTACTAGACTGAAGCAAAGACTTCCTCCTTGCTTTAAAACCATAAAATAATGAGCATAGAAAATGGCTACCCAATCTCAAGGAAGCATGAATTCTACTGCCCCTTTCCAGAGCAGTACCTTCAACTCTGACATACAGAATCCACAGTTTCTGTGGATATTTTTTGCTTAGCAACTAACTGACAAAGAGAAGAGGTACTGGATTCTATGGCATATTGCTGCTTGAAGGATAGATCTCACGAGCCCTAAGTGATCTGCTTCCACTGATGAAGGAACTAGCAAAGGCTGGCAGAAATGAAGAAATGTATGAAGGTATTTGTTGAAGGAATAACCAAATTGAAGGTGAAGGAGATGAGATCATAAAGTCAGATCTTGCAAATAAGAAGTCAAAGGATAATAATGCAATAGGTAGTATTAGCAGGCAATACACACAGATTCTTAGGGAGCTGTATTCCTTTCATCAGAACCATTTTTGAACTACTCAGATCCTTCAGCAGTTCATTTACACTAAGCAACTGCATATACTAAACAGGGGCAGGTTGAGCAGTAAAGTAATGATTTTAACCTTGCAATATTTTGATGACGAGGAAACCTTACCATAAAGGCTCCTTTGGAAGGCAATGAATGCATTTTCCCATTTTAACAACTGAAAAAATACCTTATAATATACTTTATAGTTGAACCACGTAGCTGTATCTACTACAGCACTGTAACATAAAAAGTAATTTTTGGCTCTCAACCTGAAAGATTATTATTCAAATATTAATTTATTGTCTATGACCCAAATCATATAGAGTACGGAATGGGAAACTGTTTTGACTTTCTCCATACTGCAGAACTCTCATCAGTGGATCAAATGTGCAACTGGTGAGGCTGAGCTAAAATATATTGGAAGCACTGGAATGTGCAATTCAAGAAATGCTGGGAAATAATGCTACAATCTCTGTTGAACAGTTTATTTTGATTGTTATGAGCAAATTAAAACTGATGAAAAAGAACATGGAGATTAGCCACTATGTCTCATAAGTGCTGATAGACCCATCCTTCATAGACATGATTAATATCCTTTAAGCTATATATATATATCTATATATATATATCTATATATATAGATATATATAAAACTTTTATATGCCATCCCCTCATGCCTCGGCATCTCGGGATGGCTTACAACATAGAATTAAAACAATAAAACAGTAACAGTAAAATTATATAAAAACCAAAACAAAAACAAAAAAGTGACTGTTAATGATAAAATTGATTTTTAAAATAGCCATTAAATAAAAAGGTTTTAACCTGGCACCGAAAAGAATATAGACTCAGCGCCAGGCGCACCTCTCCAGGGAGCACATTCCATAACCTGGGTGCCACTGCAGAAAAGGTCCTGCTCCAGTAGTTGTTCTTTTTATCTCTTTTAAAGAGGGCTCCCAGAGCAAAGCCTCTCTCGCAGATCTTAAGGGGCGTGAGGGTATGTAAGGGAAGAGGTGCTCCTTCAGGTATCCTGGTCCCAAGCCATTCAGGACTTTATAGGTTAAAACCAGCACCTTGAATTGGGCCCGGACTTCAACTGGGAGCCAGTGGAGCTGATAGAGGACCGGCATTATGTGAGAGTTATGGCCAGTCCCTGTCAGCAGCCTGGCAGCTCTGTTCTGCTAGCAGCTTATACCATACTTGTGACAACAACCTCTAAAGTTAATCATGAAATACTTTCTTCAGTCTACTCTAAAATCTGTATGGTCACATACTCAGTCAACAGTGAAGGAATGCTGCAAATGGTTGTACCACTGTGGAAGCTGTTTCCAGATGAAAAGCAAAGAAAAGCCTTCATGCCATGCTTGAGAGCTTTTTCTGGAGGCATCTGGTTAGCCACTATAGGAAACAGAATGTTCGACTGGATGGATCTTTGCCTTGATCCAACAGGCTTCCTTTTATGTTTTAATCAATAGATGTAGCAATGGTTATGGAATATCAGAGACAGGAGTGCAAGTGCCGGGAGTCTAACAGTCAGTGAGTATGAAACAATGACTAGATTCTTTCTCCAGGACATCCTTCTCCAATATGGGCCCCATCATATGCTTTGGCCAATTAAGGCAGCATTGTCCAGCAGTCAGGATGAAAGACACTGTCATTCAAAACATCTGGAGGACACCAGATTGGGCAAGGCTACACCAGATATTAAGTACCTACTGTAAAAAGAGCTTGAGAAACATTCTCTCCAGAAAGGCAGCTGAGGGAAGATTTTAATCCCTGAACCCTCTTGAATGCAACAAGTCATGAGTAACTAACTACTACTTGCTGAAAAAAAGTTAACACTTCTGTGCCTGAGAACTCTTCCCCTGCAATCAACTCAATGCTGTAGCTAGGCCTAAACAGTCTAGGGTAGGATAGCTAGAGGATCATCTCTTCTCATATGAAACTGCCACTCACTGAGCTATTCTTGCTCCATGTGAGTTTAAATATTGCCAGAGAATTTTCCCTAATGGTGATTAGTGTTTTGACTGCCTTTGTAGGGTAGCTTATACAGGACACTGAACCCATTTTAAGTTGTTAACAAATTGTTCTTCAGAGTACTTTCAGCCAAGAGTAATTAGATTGCTGTTACTGGGTGACTTCAGGCCAGTCGCTTACTCTCAGCCTAACCTACCTCAGAAGACTATTGCAAGGATAAAACTGAGAAAGTGGATTATGTAAGCTGCCTTGGGTTCCTTGCAGGAAAAAACAGAAGATGTAAATATAATAAATGTATTTTCTTTGCTAAACATGTTTATGTTCTTCTGTACTGCTACTTACTACTTTTTACTTTTTTACTTAACTTGTTTTTGTTATTTATTAACAACCATTTTGGTGATCCTGTAGAAATGCTCTTGAGAAACTAGACTCCAAACCAGAAGGATTAAAATATGGGATAGCAATGAACAATAAAATGAAGAAATCTCCAATTTAGCGGGGATTATTAGCTTTAACATAAAAGCTAAGATTTCTATTGTGCTACACTGGGAAAAGAGTATTGCCTTCCCGTATTTTGATTGGTTTTCTGCATAAGGAATACTGCTATTACAATGAAACTAACTTGTTACATGAAGGCAAGAAAGAATCAAATATCTGAAAATATGTTTATTGAGAAAGGGAGTGTTTTCATCACATTTTGGAATAATAAATTCCAGGATAGTATCTTTCCATACTTTTTATTTTCACTGGTCTGCAAGCGTGTACCTGTAAGATATTTTGTATTATTACAATTTTTTCCAATTTTTAAAAAGAATTTACTGCTCTATCTTAGGGCCTCTTCTCCTATACAGAGATTTTCTCCAAGCAGTAGAGAAGGCACATTCATGTATGAAATGTGAGATGAGTACTTATTTTGTTGGAAGTCAGTAAAACTGGCAATTGACTCGTGCACATCTCACAGGAGGCACTGGTTTTCACCATTTTTTGCAGAGAATAGTCAATAAAAATAGCACAGTACCAAAGAACTGACGAAGTACTAAGCTTTGAAGTCCCATCTAAATTCCAAGTGCCTTGCTACCTTATACAACAAGTATTGCAATCCATTTCTACACAGTTTGCTCCCACACAGAGCAAAGCAACAATACCACAAAGGCAATGGAAATTAATGACACGAGTTGTTCTGATTTGCTGAAACCAATAATCTCTTAAGCATGTAGGTTCACCACAGAAGCATGTTTTAAATTAGCAAAGCATGCTTTCATAACAGAAATTCCTCTCATTCACCAAAATAAACTTTTGTTTAAGAGGTTAGGACATAGGTTTTACAGGGTGAAACAGA